AAGCCAGTAAAGGAAAACAATATTGAGGAGAAAATGGAGCTGGGCACCAGACCCTCACCTCTCCCCGCATGCTCCCAGGGGCTTGCATGGCCCAAGCCCCATGCCAGGGATTCGGACGAAAGCATAGTGAGCCCCTGGATTCCTTTAACGGAATACCCTTGCAGCAGCAGCATTGGAGGGGCAGGCACAGCCAACCACTTCCCCTCCACCAACCAAAAAATTAACCAATGCCTAACCGCAACCTTACAAGTTGTAACGGTTTGCTATGCAGTAGGCAAAAACCAGATGGCACCAGCCAATCAGCCAAATGGACAAAATTCCTACCAGGCCCCTACCCCAAAAGCAGACAACCCCATGACAGGCATAGCAAGGTTAAACGCAAAAGCCCCAAATTAGGGAGGGTGGGCGGGTGATCCGGTGCACGCAGCAAAAGAGAACGCTCAATGCTGCATACTCGTAAATAAAACCCTTGGTCTATCCCACAAATTGGCAACATCAGAAGTTCCCCAGTAACTCAAACAGCCCAATCACTGCTATGGCCATCTATACGATCCTGCCCAGCAACAGAGGAGTGGCCTGTCAGACCCCACCGCAACACTCCATGAAGGAGAACACGCTATATCCCCCTTCCAGTCTTTACCATTTTCTCCTTTGCTTTTATTGCAGTGTATAAATCTTTATATTGGAATCATTTCATGATTTTGTTTGTAAAGGCAGCATGCGCATTGAAATCAGAGGGGAAATCTGCAAGGAAATTAGTTCTTCAGAACTAGCCAATCAAGTGCCACTGTAAGCTTCCTTTGATGAATATTTAACTTCTAAGGAGCTGTGATGTGGCTGGTGCCAGGATCAGAAAGCAAACACTGCTTTTGTCCCCACAACACCATGATAAAATAAAATAAAATACTCTGTTGATCAGACAGATTAAAGACAAATCAACTATGTCCCACTGAAGAAAAAAGGAAGACATAACATAAGAGGAGCCTGCAGGATCAGGCCAATGGCCCATCTAGTCCAGCATCCTGTTCTCACAGTGGCCAACAAGGTGCCAAAGGCCGGACCCCTCCTGCAGCTTCCAGCAACTGACATTCAGAAAAACTGCTGCTTCCCACAAACATACTCTTTTAAACAATATCTCAACAGGTGTTAGCACTGCACACACAACTCAGGATGAATGAATCTGTCAATTTGGGTTTCTCTCAGTTTCTCATTTATCTCACACTCAGTTTGCCACATTTTCATTTCAGTGTGGACTAGAGGGAACACATCTTCCAATGTCAACATACTAAGAATTCAAGACTTGCAATTACCAAGCAGAAGGTTAGAAGGTTCAGATAAAAGAAAATCCTTCTTCATGCAACATACAGTTAATCTATGGAACTCTCTTCCACAGGAGGCAGTTGTGGCTGCTACCTTAGAAGTCGTTAAAAGAGGATGGGACAAATTCATGGAGCATAAGGCTAACAATGGCTACTAGCCATGATCAGTATGTTCTACCTCCTCTGTCAGAGGCAGTGCTGGTAGCCACGGGGGGGGGGGGGCTCCTGTGCTCATGTCCTGCTTTGTGGGCTTCCCATGGGCATCTCATTGGCCACTGTGAGAACAGGATGCTGGACTTGACAGGCGCTTGGTTCAGCAGGGCCATTACATTCTCAGCCTTTCCCAATTAGGTTACCTCCAGATGTGCTGGTTGTGGATGATGAGAGTTGCCACCCAAAACATCTGGAAAGCATCAGCTTGAGAAAGGCTGTGATGTCCACTGAGCTATTCAGAACAATGCTGATCAATGTAAATCTTAAACACTCTTCTCAGTCAGATCGCAAATGAACCCACTACCTTTCAGTTTATAGCCAGAATTTCTCTCCACCTCTCTTTCCCTTCCTCAGCGCGTAACTCAAGTAATTGTTTTGGATTTCTGCCTGAAGCATTGCCCTTCGGTAAGTAACACATTTATGTCTCCCAGACTTATTACTGTTCTCTGTAATTTGTTTCTCAGCAGCCACTACAAAAAGAGCCCAAGGGGACGTGAGATGGAAGGTGTGGGCGAACGCCTCCTCTCTGGAGATGCTCTGTGGCAACTCTTCTTTCTTTCTGTTTTGTTTTACTTTTGTCCCTTGCTGTTCCCACACTTGTCCCCCTGTGCTCAGGGAAGGGCTGAAGCATCTGCTTTGAATGCAGGAGATGCCACAAAGGCATCTCCAGGAAGGTCTGTCTGAAACCCTGGAGGGGCTGCTGATCAGAGTAGGCAATACTGAACTAGATGGATTAACAGTCTGACTCAGAATAAGACAGCTTCCTATGTTCTTAGGGATGGCAAATATGCCAATCTTTCTCTTTCATTTTTCCAGTTTAGTTCACCCTGTTTCCAGGTAAGTTTGCATTTTGTTTTGGAAAGTCAGCATGAAAATTCATACATGGTGTGTGCGTATCTGTGTGTAAACAAATTGGCTTCCCCTGAACCATGTGTATTTTTGTGCACTGCTTTCAAGAATATATGCATACATATTTTTGCATAATTTGCATTATTATTATAAATCAGCCTTTCAAGCAATCGTGGAGAAGTAGCTATATATTTTTCCTGCCATCCCTCAGTTATAAAAAGTATGGTACCTCCTAGATATGTTGATCAACAATACTGGAACATGGCAAGGAAGGTTTTTACAGGTTGTTCTTAAGAAAAGAGGAAGTGTCCATCATATTTACACCATATGCCACCTGTGCTACACATTTAAAATAGTAATATACCACTTTCAAGAGCCATGGCTTCTCCTTTAGGAATCCTAGAAACTGTAGTGTGTTAAGGGTGCTGGACTAGGGTGCTGGAGACCCCTATTCTCCTCAAAGAGTGACAGTTCTCAATCCCTCTTCACAGGGATCTCTAGAAATCATAGCTCTGGGATGGAAATAGGCATGCCCTAGCAACTCTCAGCACCCTTAACAAACTACAGCTCCCAATTTAAACAAAAAACTACAGCTCCCAGAATTCCCATGAGTCCTTAAAGTAGTAACATGAAATTTTAAATGTATGGTGTGAATGTGATCATATAGGATGATTTGGTGAACGACGGGGGGGGGGGGAGAATTCTGATGCTTTCAATACAGTTTCCCCCAATGACTGTGCTGGGTGGGAATGATGAGAGCTGTTGTCAAAAGCATCCAGAGGGCACAAGGATAGGGAATACTAGCTTTAAGGCTACAACTAGATTTTTATTTTAAAGAATGTCTCCAAAGTCATGTCTGTCATGCCTCAAGTGAAACTGATGAATCAGCTATGATTCAGCAGACATTACCCATATCGTTATGCAGGATTCCAGCACCAAAACCTGGGATGATTCAGAAAAGAGCTGTGCATTCTTTATCCAAAGGCACTCTCTCTCATTCCCTCTCTCAGAGGTGACCTTCCCTGTGTCCATAATATATCTTTTATATTTGTCTTTTTTCACACTTCCTCTATGTGGTTTTAAATGAGTATATCTGATTAAAAGTTGGTGAGTTGCTATGGCCTTTGGACACAGCCTTGTGAATTCAAATGACATTTATTACTCCTGCAGAAGCACCTTCTTTGGATATACCAAATCATGGCAATCTATAAAAGGAACAGCTAGTATATTTTACTAGCAGGTGGTGATTTCCCTATTGATTGATTTACTGTGGATTGGTTTCCTTTACACACCTCTCTGCCAAGGCACTCAAGGCGGTTTACAATTTTAAAAGACAAAGGACTGGTATACGTAAAATGTTGAGCGATGGGAGTCCTCCTAGGTAGACTGGCTCTTCAGCAGCTGAATGTACAAGCTTTCTGGCCTTGGTTTCCTTAAGTCTGCTTTTCCCCAGGGCACTCACGTCTCTAAGCAGCCCCAGGGGAGATGGGATAGGCTGCTTGATGCTTCAATCTGATGGCTTTTAGAACTTCTCTGTGCTTTTAGTGACTTATTTGGCATTGCAGTTATCTGAGGTTTTTATTGAAAGCTCCTTTGGGGGGAAATAGTTTATGAAAGAGTGGGGAATATAAATAAATGTTTGTGGTGTGCATGTACAAGTAAAAAAGCACCCACGTCCTGAATAGGAATCCCAATTCAATGGTCCATTGTGTGGAATGAGTATTCCACTTTTTTTTTGTATTATTCCCCTTTTTGTACATGTGGCTGCCTACATGCTAAAGTCACATGGGAGTGCAGAACAGCTGCAACAGGGACATGGAATTCCACTTCCTGCCATTCTCCACTTTCCCTTCCTTGATTTGAAAATGCAAATTTCTAGTGTTTATTGTTTGCTGCAAAGGTACGTTTGAAAGTGTGTGAGCTACAGCTGTTGCAATCTCCAGAAGTCAAAAAGCTGGCTGAACATGATTTACCAGTGATGATGCGTAAGGGTTTCAGTATTCTTTGGCTATTTAGGGGGGGGGGGGAATAAGTTACAAAAAGGTTGTATCCAATGCTAGTCCTACTCAGGGTAGACACAATGAAATGAATGGACCTTACTTAGTCATCTCCATTAATGGGTCTGCTCTGAGTATTCGAGACAACTTGATCTTCTTAGTTTTTTAAAAAGGTTGGGGTTCTGTTTTGTTTTGCAAAAAGATCACATGCAAAGATAATCAATTTGCACAATTTATGCACATGGCTGTATGTATGTATGTATTTGGCAAGTGTGACCTTTTCTTTCCCTAGACTCTGACACTTTCCTCTCAGAGCATTCACACTTTCACAGAGCACAAACTGTCCTGGTTGCACAGCAAGCACTAAGCCTCCCTTGCATTCCATTCAAAGTTTTCAACACACTTTCTTACAAACACCCCCCCACCCCGCTCTGCAAGTCTCACTAGATCCTTCAGCAAACACTCAGTGTTCTGCTTTTAGCCAGTCCACCACCCTCCAGCCATCTCCCACAGCACTTGCAGTTGTCAGCAGACTCTCAGCACCCTTCATCACACCTTGCAAACTCACAAAGAAGGCAAAATAAAAACCTACTGCCAAAGCCATCATTGACCAAAGAGAAGGAGGGAGAGTACAGAGGACGCTTCACAATATGTGATGGGATTTCATGACTCAAGAATGAACCAAAGAGGTACAAATGCTTGCGTTTTTGCCAGCTTCAATTACCTTTTTCTGTCTCATTCTTCCCCATTATCTACCCTAGCTCATAGCACTTGTCGTAGGGGCGGCCTGGCCTTGTTCAACTCCAGCAAACAGGAACGTTAAGAACTCCTTGATCGGATTAGATCAAGAGTGCATTTAGCTCCCTGTTTAATCTCTGGCTCAAAGCCAAAAATGACAGAGCAAGCAAACAGGTGCAGAGGGAAATCTGCTGTTGTGTGTGTTTGCCGGTGGCATCCAGGAATGTATCTACCTGTGAAGGACGACAGCTGTGTGTACCCATATTTCATCATGAATTTTCATAGAAATATAGGAAACTGCTTTATAGTGCATCAGACCATTGGTCCATCTAAACAACTTGGGCCCAAAGTACTTTAAGGGCTTATGCTCCACTTTGACTGAAATCATCTAATGGGGCACTTCTGGCAGTTTCTTATGCCCCTGAGGCTCAGTTGGCTTTCACCAGAGGCTGAGCCTTTGGTGTGGCCCTGTGGAATTCCCTGCCACTAGAAGGTTTGGCAGGAAGCACATCTTCGTTCTTTCAGGTGTCTTTCATAAGCTTGTTTTGTGTTCTGACTTGCCATGTCTTTTATGAAAGTGAGGATTATTAATTCATAAAGAAATATGTGAATGAATAAATACCTAGCTCAATATTGAAAGCCAACAGTGCCTCTGCAGATTTTCAGGCAAGATTCTCTCCAAGCCCTACCTGGAAATGCCATTGCAGGTTGAGTCGGGGACCTTCTATATGCAAGGCGGGTGCAGTGCTACTGAGCGAATCCCTAAAAATTATTTATATCAAGATCCAGGAAATCACAAGGTTTTCTCCCTTGTTGGCAGCAACCAGTTGTCGTCTCTTGCTTTCCCCCTCCCACCTGACCGGCTTGGATTTATTAGCAGCTGGGTTTATTTCTGACTGAAAATGACAAAGGCTTCAAATTGCAATATAGATTTTGACCAAACTCCTACCAAACCTCCCTTGCTTTACTCCCTGACTGACGTCAGCTGAGGCCTTTTATATCAAGACCCTTCATCTTGTGCTGAATGCTATTAAATTATAACGGGGTGGTGTGGGTTTTTGGTTTTTTCGTTTTGTTTTTGCTGACACACCACAAAGGCCTTCCACATTATTCTACAAGCAATTTAATCCTTCCAAAATAGGGGAGGGAGGGTTGGGAGACAAAAATGAAACAGCAGCAATCTCATTTCTGTGCTTCTATTAAACCCCAGGAGGGACCAGCCTGTTTTGCTTTTAAACTCCTCTAACCATCTGGTTTTGATCTGCATGCAAATCAATCATTAGGTGCACTTATTGGCTCGTTTGTTACATTGCACCTTTGTTATATTGTCAGATTAATGGAGCAAACCTTCCCCAGCGTGATCTAGTTTAGGAGCCAAAGTCACCATGACGTTAAACCTAACATGAGCCCTTGTGCAGTTGGTGGTGCAGACAACTGCATTGGGACTGTCGCCCCTCTCTGAATCAGACATAGGCTTCCATGGGGTAACATCACTTAGGGTTACCATACATCCAGAATTTCCCGGACATATCCAGAATATCGCCTTCATCAGCAGTGTCCGAACGGAATGTCTGGAAAAAGCCTTGCTGATTTCCCCTTAAAATAGCTCAAAAGTGGCTTCTTCTTTTTTGGGCAATCTTGCCAACAACTTTTCTGTCCGGATTTTCACTGTTTGAAATATGGCAACCCTAGCATTGCTCCTCCTTCACTGTCTAACCCAGTGATGGCCAAACTTGGCCCTCCAGCTGTTTTGGGACTACAGTTCCCATCATCCCTGACCACTGGTCCTGCATAGCTGTCAATTTACAGATTTGAAAATAAGGGACCACCAGCCTTGAAAATAAGGGACCAGCAGCCAAAATAAGGGACCTGCAGCCTCACCTGTTCCAGGCACTCCAGTCTTCCTGTCCTCCTGCAGTCTGGTCAAACTCATGCTGGTAGCTTCGAGAACACTGTCCAACCAACTTTTTAACCAGAGGTTCAACTGAATAGAATCTGAATCACATGCACCACAAGGCCTATGCAGCCTCAACTTAAGATGGCTCCCCGGCCTGGCTTTGCACTGCAAAGTTTGCAGCAGCACGTGCAACAAAATGGCGTCCAGCGTTCAAAAAACCCCTCAGCTTGCATTAACTAGCCACACACAAGGCATGCAAGCTCCACCCCCCAGTCATTCTTAGACTTCTTATTGGGTGAGCAACACAGCCAAATAACACAGTTGGAGCCTCCCTCCTCTCTGGCCGGCAGGGAGGGAGGGAGAGGAGCTGCTTTCTTTGAAATTTAAGGGACATCATTTAAGGGACATCCATCAATAAGGGACAGCAGCGGGACATGGCGCTGGAATAAGGGACTGTCCCTTCAAATAAGGGACACTTGACAGCTATGGGTCCTGTTAGCTAGGGATTGAAGGGGGCCATTAGAATATTGTTCTCTATATGATCCCAAAAACTGTTTAAGGCATTTTCTCCTCTCTCATATGTTATCCCAAAGGGGGGAGGTTTTTCCAAAGGGGGAAGGTTTTTCACCATCCAGAAGAACAAGGCTTTTTATTGCTTAGATGTTACAGTGAAAATAGGCCTATCTCAGGAATGTCTAGGCCTAGGCGGGTGAAAGATAAGAGCAAGGTTGAATATGTGTTATTCTGGCCCCATACGGGGGAAAGACTGAAGACAAGGAGGGTAATGCAGGAGACAAAGCCCCATTTTATTGCTATCAGTATAAATCACATGTTTTACATTTGAACACGTGTCGAGGTTCATGGCGTGGAGAGGCTGGTGCAGGAAGAAGGGGGCAAGCAAACCCATATAAGGACATAGGAAGTTGCTATGATTTACGATTTCCTAGAAATCAGGTGGTATTATTCTGCAAATGTATAAAAAGGGCTGGCAAACCCAGAGAGGGGGGCAGGCAATGAACTTTACCTTGTCTGTACCATTATTTTGTCATGACAAAATAAAAATGATTTTACTGCTGTCAAATTGACTCTTTGAAGCGAATTCTGATACTCCGAAGGGAAGGAACTAAGAAAAGGTCTTTCAGGGATGATGAGAGTTGTAGTCCCAAAACAGCTGGAGGGCCACGTTTGGCCATCACGGGTCTAACCTAATACTCTCCACACGGTTTGGACTACAATTTCCATCAGCCCCCAGTGAGCAATGTGCTGGCTTGCACTGATGGGAGTTGTAGTCCTAAAAGTCTGGAGGGCATCTGGTTGGCAAAGGTTGCCTTAGCCTATGTTGGTGCAATAGAAAAGGCAGAGGAAGGAGCAGGGGCGCCGGAAGAGGGGTGTAGGATGTGTGGCCCACCCCAGATGTAATCCTTGAGGGGGGTGACCAAATGGCACATTGCGGGGGGGGGCACTTACTACAGGGCCTGGCCTGCAGCACACCCGAGCCATGCGTCTTTCCTGGGAGTGACGTGGTGGCTTGGGGACCTGCGCTGCCCGAAACGGCAGCATGGGGCTTGCATCTGGCAGGCGGACTCCGTGGACCGCTCACTGCGCTGCCCCCCTTGGCGGATCACCGCAGCACCCCCGTGCACAGATCGCCCCGCCCCCGTGGGCGGTTTGCCCTGCTGCTCCAGGTGCCCCACTCCAGGTGTCGGAGCAGCTAGCTACGCCCCTGGGAAGGAGGAAGCTAGCAGAGTCCATGCAATATCTTATTTCAACTGCAAGAAGGCTCACACTTTTCTATTTTTCCTAGAGAAAAATGCTTAGAATTATAGAAGGGACCATGAGGATCATCTAGTTCAACCCCCTGAAATGCAGGAATGGGATGGGGCTTGAACCCTGGGATTAAGAGTGTCATGCTCTACTGACTGAGCTATCCAAAAATTTATTTCTGTGGCAAACCTCATATAGGCAGCTCCCAGTCTAGTGTGTGAATTGGAACATAGGTGTTTTGTTTTTTTATTGAGTTTATATCCTACCTTTTTCTCCAGGGGAGCCCAAGGTGGTGTACAGAGTTCTCCCTCTCCTTATTTAATCCCCACAATTAGCTGAGAGGGTCACCCAGTGAGCTTCATGCCAGAGTGTAGATTTGAACCTTTATGTCCCTAAATTCAATGCTCTCAATTGTCCCTAAATTCAATGCTCTCGATTTCACATTTTTATTTTTATTTTTTGATGCAACTCACGTCTCTGAACCCAAACCAAACTGCTTTCTTTTAAAAATTAAAAAGCCCTCTTTTTAAGAATGTGCAAAATTAAAAGAGGGGCCGCTCCCTTACTTACAAGTAAGCTTTGTCATGGCTAATGTGGCAGCAGCACATTTACTCAATAATAATAATAATAATAATAATAATAATAATAATTTATTTATACTCCACCCATCTGGCTGGGTTTCCCCAGCCTGTCTGGGTGGCTCCCAACAGAATTAAAAGCACAATGAAACATTAAACATTAAAAACCTCACTAAACAGGGCTACCCTCTTCTTTGCCTCATTCTGAAGAAGGAACAGGGGCTCCTTCCTCAGTCCAAGGCATCCTGGAAGTGGTGCACTGTGAGAATGCCTTGCCATCACTACTTTTCCAGGGTGCTGGGACATTCTGTGAAAAACACTTTAAAAGTTCCAAGTAGTTCAGAGCAAAACAGAGAAAAGGGGACTAAAAGTTAAGCAGAGATAAGAGCCAGGAAGGGGGCATCTGTGGCTTGTTTCACCTCAGGCGGCACCGTGCCTTGCACTGGTGCTGGGAAATGAGAAGGCATGCACTTGTGAATGAACCCATTCAACATCAACACAGGCCAGAAATGAATCTATCCATCCTTTCCTGATTGTGGTATCCAACTAAAACTCAAGGGTTTCCTCTTGTGCAATGGGACTGCCTTCCTCTTTCCTCTGCATTCCCCCAAATCTGTCCTAGGGGTTGCCTCAAGCCTCCAGAGCAGAACTGGGAAGGGCATGGGGCACATGAGGGGCAGAGGGAGGAAAGGGAGGAGAGTTATTTTGCACAAGCATAAATTCTTGCACTGATGGGACACTTTAGTTGGATACCGCTATTTAGTTCCCATCCTGTTTGCACTTCATACCTTGCAATATTAGGGTTGCCAGGTCAAGAGAATCCAGGCCCTAAGATTTCAAGGTCCAGACCTCAGACCTAAGGAGTGGCCGCTGGTGAAGCTATGGGGGGCAGGCCACTGGTGATGTCATGGGATGAGTCCTGGAGACAGAAGTTAGTTGGGAGAGAAGAGCGAAGAAGGACAGCCCAGCCCCCGCCCCCCGCAAGTGTCTATGCTATAATTTGAAGCCAGCCTTTCACTTGGAGATCTGGCAGCCTTATACAAAATACATGTGCCTCCCAACAGGGAGTTGATCTGTGTCTAAGAGTGAAGTAAGAAACATCTGTCATGTTTAGGAGGGAGAACTTCGAAGTCATATGAGCATCCATGCTGTTCATGGGAAATCTATTCCCTCTCATTCTTACAGATCCTACTACAATATTTTGATGGGAGTGGAGAGAGATGAGGGAAGGAACAGCACATCTTGGGACTTGATACGCACAAGAAATCAGTTCCTCATCAAAGCAGCTGCATTGGTTTGAAGGGCTACTCCTCTGATATATAAACTGCCATTGCTGCTGATTTACATAGATAATAAAAATGACACACCCACTTAAATTCCTAATCATATCTTTTTTTAAAGAAACAACAACAACAGCTAAGATACAAGAAGCTTCTCTGTGGAAAAAGCAAGTCCTGGGGATGTTCTGTTTAGTATGTTCTCCACTTCCATGATGGCTAACATGTTCTAGGGTTGCTTTCCTTTGGATGAGGGAGGGAGGGAGCACACTGGAGATGTGCAGTGTTTTTGAAATATTTACATGCCATAAACAGAGCAGAAGTGAAAGCAAATTACACGCGTGCTCCTACAAGGCTTAGGTGTAGGCCACGTTCAGGCCATACACTTAAAGCACTATGGGAACTGTAGTTTGTTAGGGGTGCTGAGAGTTGCTAGAAGACACACACACTCCAAACGCATTCCTCTCCCAGAGCTACTATTCCCAGAATTCTCAGGGAAGAGAGATTGACTGTTAAACCAGCTCTTGGAGGGAAATAGCAGTTTCCCAAGGATTTTCAGCACCCTTAACAAACTACAGCTCCCAGGATTCCTTGGGGGAAGCCATGACTGTTTACTGTAGTATTATAACACTTTAAACGAATGGTGTGAATGTACCCTACTTCATGCCAGATCTCCAGAGTGAGGCCTTGTTCCCCTAAGGTGTTTTCAGGCTTCAGTCGTCTCAATACTCCTCTCCGGTTCTACATCAGCCAAACTGTGCATGGCTCTCTCTTTGCATGCATACTTGCCCCCAGCTCCTAATGCGGCCATGTTAGGGAGAGGGTTGCCTTCCCAAGGCACTGATAGCCATCTCCTTCAAAAACTGTCAAGAGAGATCTTGACCTGTCTCTAAACCCAGGGAAGTGCTGCAGTTCCTTGGATGTAATCTGTTGATGTGAATAGCATGTTGGGCTAGGAGGACAGAGCCCCTTCTCTCCCTGCTCTCTCTCTTTCTGACATCCCATAACAATATCAGAAGAGAGCTGTATCAGGCCAGTGGCCCATCTAGTCCAGCATCCTTTTCTCACAGTACCCAATCAGATGTCTGTGGCAAGTCTGCGAGCTGGACCTGAGAACAAAAGCAAACTTCCCCACTTGGGATTCCTGGAGACAGTATTCTGACAGTGGGGGTGGAACAAAGTCACCTTGACTAGTAGCCACCAACACAACCAAAACAAAGGAGAAAGTCTCCTATAATTTCCTCCATGAATTTGTCTCATCCCTTTTTAAAAGCCATTCATTCTGGTGGCCCACACAGTAGGAGAAATGTCCCTAATTCAAATTTGCAATGTGTGAACAAACACTTTCTGAATTTTCCAACACCTAGCTACATTGAATGTTGAATGCTACTGTTATGAGAGAGGGAAAAGAACGTAATGCCCATGAAATGCACGGGGGGGGGGAAACACCACTTATCCTTATTCAATGATGCTACAAGATCAGAAGAGCGTCTTGGACTTAAGAACAGAATGTCCTGGAGTTCTTCCTTTAGAAATGCTCCAAGGCATTCCTTGCTTCTCTCTCCTGCCTGCTCCGTTTTAACTCAGCCGTATAAATGAACAATTAAAGCTGACTTTTTTATTTTTATTTTTTAAAAGAAAAAGTTAGTGTGACATTCAAATAAAGTGCCCACCCAAGTTGAAAAAGACGCTGGGCTCAGATTCTTCCTACCCCGAAAGTTCTGAGAATATTAATAACTGAAAGACTCCCAAAAGGCCCAGAAGAAAGTTTGCAGGCATGTATTTAAAAATTAATTTTAAAGTTATAGAGAAAATGGTTGATACCCCACCAAATAAAAAAATAAATCACCCACTCGGTGTCATAGGAACAAAGTACTACCTCCTTTCTGACACAGAATTCTTTTTTTAAAAAAGTGAAGTGAGCTCTAAGTTAATAGCAAACCCTTTTTTTGCTTGCAATGAAACTTGAAGAATTTCCATGAAAAATATCAGAAATGTCTCTCTTTGTTTCGTTTTGCAGAAAACTTTGACCATTCCACCCCTCATTTGTAACTAGGGGTGCTGGAGAATTATGGCCTGAACAGAAAATGTATTTTCCAGAGCTCATCTTTTCGTCCCATGTTCAAGATGGAAATCAGTTTGGTGAAAATGATCAGTACAGTGGTACCTCTGGTTACGAATGTTTCTGGTTATGAATGCTTTAGGTTATGAGCTTCGCTAACCTGGAAGTAGCTGCTCCTGGTTGCAAACTTTGCCCCAGGATGCAAACGGAAATCAAGTGCCAGAGGCAGACGGGCAGTGGGAGGCCCCATTAGCAAAAGCGCACCTCGGGATAAGAACGGCTTCAGCTTAAGAACGGACCTCCTGAATGAACTAAGTTCATAACCAGAGATACCACTGTACTAACAGTTGCTGATGTTGCTTTCAGAGTGCAAAAAAGAAGCAATTAATTACTCCCCACCCCCCGGTTGGATTGTTCTTTCCTTTGCACTGAAGTGAATGGTCTGGAATGAGAGAATAGCAATGTAATCCACCCAATCAAATTATGTAAATTAAGTAACAAAATTTCATCACAGTCAACTGCAAGTCGGTTAACATAGTCTTGGGTGGTGTGCAAATTGCAGCGGAATGGAAACGCTGCTATGTGCAACAAATGCAGGGCAGAACAGAAAAGAGTGCCTTCTCACACTGCTACCTCCTTCTGCCACATTGAGAAGCCTTCAAATTAGCAGAACAGACGTCTTATTCCCATCACATTATCATATTTCTGCTCTTCCTTCCCCCTGAAAAAAATCAGATCCCTCAGGAGAATATTTTCTTCTCTCTCCATCAAAAAAATCCCCCTCAAACAGAATTTGACATGTCAGAGTCTAAATTGGACTTTGCTCAGAATAAAATACATTCAGAATTACATAACACAGATGTAAAAAGAGGTTTAGGGGCGGGGAAAATCAATGAATCAAACTAGATCAAATCTCTCTCCCCCTCTCTTCTACAGCATGACGGCAAGGAGGCTTTCGATGAGGGGTTGAATTAACAGGAGAGTGAATCTGTTCACCACGAAACACAACTGAAGGAGAATTTCATTCAGCTCTATCATTGCCAATATGTGGCTCTTGTGCTTACAGGATGGGGGAAAGAATGTTGCTTTCAGCCCGACTGCACTATTGACTCAAAAGCAGGGGAGGGGGTCCACTTTTTAGAGCAGAAAGGGTTTGCAGCAAGGCAATCTCATTTGAGGGCCTGGAGTATCCACAATCTGACCTGGGATTTTAAAGATTCTGTACATAATGCTGAGGACTAGCAACTTGATGTTCATATATCACACACAGAGAGATAGATATACAGAGATATAATTTAGGAGGCAGTTCTCTCAATACGCTTCATTGTTAATCCATCCCCGATACAGCAAATGCCTTAAACGACTTCATACCATGAAAGGAGCCGGACTTTTATGTGCGGATAAGAGCTTGCAACTGACCCAGCCCCATCTATTCTTCTGAGATCTGATATCACAACCAAAGCAAGTCAATTCTGCAGGTCCAAAACATATCCGGGCACAGACATTCGTTTTGTAAGAAGTTAATGGATTTTGCAAGTGCAATTAGCTTTAATCTAGATGTCAGAGCCTGCCTGTCATGCAACCCTAGGGCCCGTGACATTACAAAGGGAAGGCTGGTGCCCTTAGCACCCATTATGAGATCATTAAATAATTTGTGAATGTCAGCCTGGAATGGTAAAAATCTCATGAAAGAGGGGTGGCAATATAATAAAGGAGAACAGAGGGATGGGTGTTGTCCACCTCCCCTAGTTGTCTCCTTCCTGGACGAAATCCATTGCAATCCTCTGGTCAGCGTGAGGGTCTGTTCCATTGGTGAACAGAGGCACAGATGTGGCACTTAGGGTGCATTCAGGAGGGGGCTTATTTTGCTGATTATAATGGTGGCATTTACGCCCCACTTTCTAACATTCATTTCACACTGCAGTAGAATACTAAACAATGTTGATTTACAGTTAGGGTTTATCCACCCTTACTTTTTGCCTTGCTCTTTGCAGACACAGGTCCACACTTAAAAGTACCATGTCCAAGTGTTTGTTTAATTTTAAGGTTTTTTGTCTCGGAGCTTTCCCCATGAAAACCTACTCTTTAGCAGTCAGTTGAAGCAAATGTCAATTTGAGTTTTAAGTGGATTGCTCTTTACTCTATTACAGGCCAACATGTGGAATATACCCCAAGTTTGGGACTGTTAATTATTTTTAAAGAAGGGCACTCTGACCATTGTTATAAAGAACTGTGTAATTACTTTTCTTTCAGTAGCATCATACCTTCTAGTGGTGCAGAATTGGAAAGAACTGGAACATCTGTGTATCTCTTGTTGGAAACAAAATGTACTGTGTATTGCTGTTTCAGAAAAAATTAACAAAGAGATTACATGCATTGAATATGATGTAGACAATTTTGTTGAAATATGGCATTCCTTTTATAAAATACTTTACTGATAACCTTGAAAAATGGAAACTATTGAAATCACAGGTTGGATTTCAGCAAATTTAACTGGTTTGACCCTTCCTGGAGAGGGAAGGAGAGTTGGGATTTTATTTTCATATTTTGTAGTCTGTACTAAGGAGAAACATACCTCTCGTGAGATTAAACAGTCTTAAATTTCAAGAAAAAGAACCTGCAAGCATCAGATCCCTTGGAAAACCCTTGCAGGAGCAGACCACTGGAGAGCACATGAGCACTACTTACAGAAAACGGGGGTTCCCAAGCTGTGACCCTTGTCACGAGCAGTGATGTTACAAACACATGCATCCCTATGGAAGTTTGGAAAGTATGTGTGTCTATGGCTTGGAATTTCTGCTGTGTAATCAGGTGAGTTGTACTCAGAGTAGACCTGATAGAATTAAAAGATCTAAGGTCACAGCCACATTATACATTTAAAGCGTATAATAGTACCTCAGGTTAAGAGCTTTGCTTCAGGATGAGAACAGAAATCGTGTGGCGGTGGCGGCACAGCAGCAGCGGGAGGCCCCATTAGCTAAAGTGGTACCTCAGGTTAAGAACAGTTTCAGGTTAAGAACGGACCTCCAGAACGAATTAAGTTCTTAACCCGAGGTACCACTGTAGTGTGTTAGGGGTGCTGGAAAATGTAGCTGTGGGTGGAGTCTCCTAACAACTCTCTGTTCCCTTAGCAAACTGTGGCTCCCAAGATTCTTCAGAGTTGAAGCCATGGCTGTTAAAGCGATATAATAGTGTTTTCTCTGTACCATGTGAATATGACCTATGTCAGCCATTCCCATTAATTTAAGAAGTCTAGTCCAAGTATGTTTAACCATGGGTACAGCCCTCTGACTTTGTCCCAGGTTCCCTTTCCCTTCCTCACTCCAACAGCTGGGAATAGTATCTGACACTGCTCTTTGGAGATGTTGCCTCAGGCGCTATCACATGGCTTACCCATCTGATGGGCTATCCACACTGCCTTGACTTTTGTGATGTAACTCCAGATTGCTTTCCAGCCCAGAGGAATGTATTGCTGCACTTTCAGGCTCATTTGTTTCCTAAGCTGCTTCCCAATGTGTTCAAATCAATAAGCAAAACATTCTTCCCATCACAACTTGTGATGATGCTATGGGTGGTGGTGTCGAAAACATGCTTCGCCTGCTTACAAATCAAGGGCAGAAACATCCTACCTGTCCATCCCAAGCATTTTCTTGTTCACTTTATTAAGGCAACCTCAGATGGAGGGGGGGGGGGTAGAAATATAGGACAGCAACCAATAACATATCTATGTTCATTATATGCAAGCTGAAGTTACTAAAACAGCTATTCAACTGATAGTAGACAAAAATGTCTTCCAAAGTCGCTATTGGCTTTAAGGCACTATTGCAGAAACCCATTTCTCTCTCCAGTGTGCCCATCGTATACTCTCATGCTGGCATTCATCATCCAGTTAAGATGAATTATTGAATTGCCGAAAGAAAATTAAAGTGAAAAGTGGATAGTGATACTTTCTGGTGCCCCTACATGCCACCCTTAATCGTACATTATACAAACCCATAAAAAATTAAAAGTGACCGTGTCTACACAATTACACCTAACTTGGCAGAGAGGAATTGAAATGCCAAATGAAATAAATCGCGTCATATCTGAGGCTTATCGCACATAGATAGTCATGTATATATAATGATAAAATCCTCTCTCTGCTAAGAGGCACAAGGAGAAGCCTTCATTTTTTGAAGCAAAGAACCTCAACTTCTGCAACGCAAGGTGTACAATTTTTATTTATTGCTTTTTTATCATCTGCAGGAGCTAGCATGGTTTCATGTCTTTCCTGGGGCTGTAATTTGCCTCCATTCTTTGTTATGCACAGCAGACACAAAGCGTTCTTACACTTATTTATTTATTTCCACTTACCTTCCCAGCTCTTAGCATATTACATGCATTAAACTCAAGCAGAACACTATCAAATTACAGCCAGCAAATGATGAAGAAAGGAACAGAACATCTCTGGGAATGGAGAAACCACTGCCAGTCTGTACTTGTGATTTAAAAATAAAATAATACAAAACAATCTTCTCCAAAAAGAAATACCTGCCCGCAGACTGTCTCGCCAGATAAACGAGTCCCTTGGGCCTTATCCGGCCCGTGGGCCTTAGTTTGGGGACCCCTGCTCTAGTTATCTCCCGCTTGGACTACTGCAATGCGCTCTATGTGGGGCTACCTTTGAAGGTGACCCAGAAACTACAACTAACCCAGAATGCGGCAGCTAGACTGGTGACTGGGAACAGCCGCTGAGACCACATAACACCGGTCTTGAAAGACCTACATTGGATCCCAGTACATTTCCGAGCACAATTCAAAGTATTGGTGCTGACCTTTAAAGCCCTAAATGGCCTCGGTCCTGTATACCTGAAGGAGCATCTCCAACCCCATCATTCAGCCTGGACTTTGAGGTCCAGCTCCAAGGGCCTTCTGGCGGTTCCCTCCCTGCGAGAAGTGAGGTTACAAGGAACCAGGCAAAGGGCCTTCTCAGTAGTCACACCTGTCCTGTGGAACGCCCTACCATCAGATGTCAAAAAGATAAACAACTATCTGACTTTTAGAAGACATCTGAAGGCAGCCCTGTCTAGGGAAGCTTTTATTATCTGATGAATTATTATATTTTAATGTTTTGTTGGAAGTAGCCCAGAGTGGCTGGGGAAACCCAGCTAGATGGGAGGGGGGTTATAAATAATAAATTATTATTGTTATTACTATTATAGGAACACAGGAAACTTCCTTGCACTGAGGCAGTCTGCTTGTCCATCTGGGTATTGTCAACACGGACTGACGATGGCTTTCCAAGGTTTCAGATAGCCATACCTAGAGCTGCCAGAGATTGACCCTGGGATCGGTGGCAGACTTTGGGCTCTCAAATTTCAGCAGCGGCACCCTGTGTGATGCTAAAATTCTGTGTCCCCTTACCTCTCACACAACATTTTCTACAGCATTGTTTTGGCACTCCCTGCAACACAGTGCCCAGTGCAGCCGGTCATGCTACCCTAAAACTGCCTCTGCTGGGACCTTCTGCATGCAAAGGTGATGCTCTAATATTGAGCTTCAGCCACTACCTTCAAAAATCTTGCCATGGGTGTAATGCAATTTAGCAAGCATGACATCATGTTCCAAGCTAGCTCATGTTTCCACTTGGGCTGAGAGTGCAGTCATGTGCAGGAGAGGTGTGTTACAGGGAATATAATCACACCACCTTTCCAAAGATGGAATTACTACTCTGTGAAGAAAGGCTGCAGCATTTGAGTGTTTAGTTCAGAGAAAAATATAAGATGTGACATGATGGAAACTTATAAAATGATGCAAGACTTGGATAAAGTGGATAAAAAGATGCTTTTCTCCCTCTTATAACACCAGAAGTTGTGGACATCCAATGAACTGAACGTCGGAAGATTCAGGACTGATAAAAGAACCTCCTTCTTCACCCAGCACCTTGTTAAACTATGGAACTCCCTTCTACAGAAGGCAGTGATGGACACTAACCTGGATGGCATTAAAAGAGGATCAGACAAGTTCATGGAGGAGAAGGCTATCAATGACTACTGGCTACAATGACTATGCTATCCATCTATGGATGGAAGCAATAATGCTTCTGAGTTGGTGAAAACCACAGGAGGTGAGAGTGCTGTTGTGCTCAAACCCTACTAGAGGGCTTTCCGCAGGCATCTAGATGGTCACCATGATAACTGTATTCTGGACTAGATGGACTTGCTTTGGCCTGATCCAGCCAATGGAAAACCAAGCAAGACCTGAGCACAAGACCACTCTCCCCTCCTGTGGGTTCCAGCAACTAATATTCAGAAAAATCACATAACGATCACCTGAGGCCCTTCTCTGTGTGCTTGATATGTGGGAGATCCAGAATGGCAACACAAAAACGGGCCTTTACTGCAGTGGCTCCCTGTTTATGGAATGCTATCCCCAGGGAGGCTCACCGGGTGCCTTCATTGCATAATCTTTAGGCGCCAGGCAAAAAAGTTTTTCTATAACCAGCCACCTCTGGCTGATTAACATTCTATGGCCTTTTAAATGTGTCTGTGTTCTCATTTTATATATTTTTGTTGTGAACCACCCTGTGATCTTCGTATGAAGGGCAGTGTGCAAATTTAATTATTATTAATAATAATAATATTGCCTTTGACTGTAGTCTTTTGGCGCCTGCTAAAAACAATTTTGTTTAGACAGTCCTACCCAGTTATGTAGAATGTTGATGTGTGTTTAGCTAATTATTTATTTAAGTTATTTTTGAATGCTCTAAATAGCTGTTTTTAACTTGTTTTAGTGATAAATTTTATTGTTTTATTTGTTTTGCAAACTGCTTTGAAGGTTGGTTGGTTGGTTGGTTGGTTTGCTTGTTTGTTTTTTATAATCAAGTGCTATATAAATGCTATGAAGTGAATAAATAAATGCTTAAAAGAAACTCTCAAGTCTTTTTGGGTTCTTTCCAGATCCAGAAAAGTAATGCCCCTTTCAGTACCTGCAACACCATGATCCCAGATGCTTACCTCCCCATCCCCTTCCCCCAAATTTGCTTGGGAGTGGGCACATAAGTAGAAGCATTGATACTGACAGCAGCAACCACTTCCTCCTCACCTGCCACCATGCCTGCCTTGTTCTGTCAAGGCACCTAGAAGACAGCTGAAAACAGCAGTGTTTCAGATACAAGGAGGAGCCATAGGAAACCAAGTTCCCCAGGGATCCCAAGTCCAATGGTAGTGGGTTGTGAACATGAATCAAGGCAAATTGATCCCAGGCCCCAATCCCAAAGGATTTCCACTTGCCTTAAATGGACATGAGGCATTTCAACTGTACAAGAGTCTGTATCTTGCTCCATCACTGTTCAAAACATGGTCCATTTCCAACCCCCCCCCCCCTTTTAGCTGTCAAAGCAAAGAAGCTGGAAATAGTGCATTAGCTTTGTAGCATAATGATCTTTGGTTTTTTGTTTCAGCTCCAGCTGCTTGCTGACGATATTAATTTCTGCGTTCTCAGAGGCTTAACAAAGCAATTACAGCAATGCACTTGCTTCTGTCGAGACTTAACGAAGGAATTATATTTCTCATGAAGCCAACATCAAAGTTCTATCAAAACCTCTATCCAGCAAAGCATTTGGAAATGCTTCCTTTTACAAAACAATGTCTCTTTCCATTAATGAAAGGCTTCTAATATTTGTACCTGACACAAAGTGAGATACGTTTTTAAAACTCCTCTTAAGAAGATCTCCATCTTCCTTTCATGCTGCACCAGAGATTAAGAGACTTCCTTTCACAAAAACACTAAAACTAATAATTAGTGGAAGTTTGTCTACCAGGGCAACACAATGGTCTTATCCTGCCATCCCAACTGTCTGCCTTCTTACTTGCAAACAGTTCAGGGGGCAACACCACCAATCAGCTTTCTCCTCCTTAGTCACAGTGCTGTCCCCCCTGGAACTAAGCAGGGACGAGGATGGAGACAAGATTAGAATTAGCTCTGAATTAGAATTAGAATTAGCAGGAGAGGGGAGAGGACAAGCAGCCAAGATGAGGCAGGCTGGTGAGGAGGCACAGGTGTCTCCCTATCCTGCTCCCCTCCCCCCTGGTCTCCCAGAAGCAGAAGAGGTGTGGTGAGGGAGGAGCAAAGGCAGGCACATCAGCATAGTCTCAGATGCTTGGGAGGGACCCGGGAATGGAGGAGACTTAGGCAGCTGTGGGAAGGTGAGAACCTTCAGTCTCCACAACTGCTTCATAGGGGCAAGAACTACCGGAGATGAGTTGCTGTGCTCATTAGGCCTGACACTCCTGTGTCAATCATGTTTTTGCTAAAAAAGCGTTAACTCCAGATTGCATGGTGTGATTTACTGCTTCCCCTCCTCTGACATCTACCTCTGAGTAACATATCTCCCCTACAATGGGACTTCCTGTGGGAATGTTCAGGGTGGCAGAGGAGGATATAATGTTTATTAATATCCTTCCTAACTTACACTAGCAAGTTCCTTTACTTAGCAGAGATTACATTCCCTTCTCTCACACAGTAGAAAACTAGTTGCAAACTCGTGTGAGTTTCTTAAAACAATACACAACTCAGTCTGGCTTGTCCAGATTGAAATGTGTTCTAATATTTTCCTGGTAAGACCCCTTGAATCCCTCCTAAAAGAATAAAGACAACACTGTCTTATTCATAAGCAAAAAAAGAGAGAAAGGCAGAGCACAGTGTGATCCCTGAAGGCAGGCTTAAGGCTTAAAGTTACAAACTTATACTAACAGGATGATAAAGAAGACGACCTGGGGGACTGCTTGGCTGGCTGCCAGCGGTTCATTCCAGGAAGTTCACAGGACGAAAAGAAGATGGAAAAGAGAGAGAGTGGCAGCATGCCTTGGCCTTTTAGCAGGTCTGGAAAGGGCACATCCACCTGCTAGTCACATGCTCCAGGCCAGGAGGAACAGGAAGTTTCAACTGGCTGGACCAAACATCCCCTTGCATGTCTACTCTAGCAAAACAAGGAATGTTGTATTTGACTGCTCCCAGTGGATTACACCCCACACTTCCTTGTATGTAAATAGCCATAAGATCACCCTGGACATTCTCTATGTATGTTAGTTCCTGTCCATTTCCAACACACACACACACACACACACACACACACACCGGTTTTAAAAAATGGTGTCCTAGGTGTCGCCAAACTGCAACTCCCACCATTCCTGGCCATTGGACACAATTGCTGGGGCTGCTGTGAGCTGCAATTCGACAACATCTGGAGGACCAAAGGTTTCCCGTTCCTGGAGTGAAGCACTGCTTTGGGATTGGCCCTCTTATTTTCCATAGCAGCAGACAGCTGGCCAGGACCTTGGCAAAAGAAGAAAAAGAACGAATGACTTCAAGGCCAATCTTATCAGCAGGAGGCAGCCTAAATGGCAGCAAATATATCACAGTGGGGAGTAAGGAGAGATAATTAAATCCAGTATGGTTTAAGCAGAATAGCAGGTGATAGGCGCAGCTGCACAGATGACAGGTATGCTACTGAAAAGCTGAAATACAACACAGACATGCACATCAAATCACAAACTCCTGCTGGAGGAAGATTGGAAAACAAACAGGCAGAAACAGATGAGATTCTGGAGGATTCTTCCCCTTTTCTAAAAAGAGGAAATGGGATGAGGTGGAGCATGGCTCAGTCAGTAGATCATGAGACTCTTAATCTCAGGGCCTTGGGTTTGAGCCCCACACTGGGCAAAAGAGTCCTGCGTTGCAGGGTCCTCATGGTCTCTTCCAACTCTGCACTTCTATGAACTATGATTTTTAATGAACACAGGAAGCTGCCTTACACTGAGTAAGACCATTCATCCACTGGGTTCAATGTTGTCTACTCAGACTGGCTCAGTTCCCCAGGATTCAAGACAGGAGGTCCTCCCAGCCCTACTTTAATTGAACCTTGGAGCAAACCTGAGATCTTCTGCATGCAAAGCAGGTGTTCTGGCACCAAGTTGACAGCCACTACCTTCTGTGGGAGCAAATTCAACCATATGCTATGTGAATAAGTACCTTTTTTTGCTCATCCTAAATCTTCCAATTTTCAGATTCCTTGGGGACGGTATTCAGCTAAGCTTATTCAGAGTAGACTCACTTAGTTCATTCATTAGTTTGATTTTAGTGAACTCTCATTCATTGGAGGATTTTAAACAGAGGTCTAACAGGATGATCTAGTTGAGATTCCTGCATTGCAGGAGTTGCAGGGGGTTGGACTAGATGGCCCTTGGGGTCCCTTCCAACTCCACAATTCTATGACTTCACCCTGGATCTCCATGAATTCAAAACTTCACAAGTTGGTTTATTCCACTTCTCCAAAGTTTCCCTAAAGCTTCACATGGTATAAAAGCCACTTCTAGAAAACTAATGGAACATGGTGCATGTTTAATGCTAATTTCTATGTAGTTTGATTCTAGAAAAATCCCTTTGCAGCCCTCGTGGCCTGGAATATCATGAGAGTAAAATGGCAAAATATGGGACTGCATACTAGCATACAGTTCTTTCATGTTTTCATATGGGGGACAGAAACTTGTATGTGTGGAAATGGTGGGGGAGTAGTGTCGTTGTCCAATGACGTTCTTTGATGTGTCACACTATGCCCACTGATGTGAATGAAATTTAGCACAACATTCCAGTATATCAGTTGAAAATCAGGAGTTTCATAATGCAAGATTGGCCAATGGCCCACAGTGCATCCAGCTTGCTTCCAGAATGGACCAACAGTCCACTTTCTCTATACCATGCATAGCTCTGAGGCAGGCAAGCCTACCCTCTCTCCTGTGTTCCCAGAGCTATGCCATAAGGATGCCATAAGGATCTGTGAGATACAATATGTGAGGCGTGTTGAACACTTGAGCTGTGCTATATAAATGCTGTGAGTTGTTATTATTAGCATCAACAAATTGAATAAACCATGCTAATAAAGCACGCTTCGTGATTCATCATTGAAGGGCACCATTCCGCAACAAGGCATCATGATGCTGCGGTTTTGCCACCAGATAGGATTTTGAATTTCAATCCAGAGGCAGTTGTATCTGAGTGATCTTCAGATAAAAGGCATGATAAAGATGTTCATTAAATTAATCTAAATGGGCCTGCGGCAATTTAGTCTCAAGTAAGAAAATTAATTGTGTCATCTGAGTTGCAAATGCATCTAATGCAAAAAAAAATTTAAAAAAATAACCGTATCTGTGGCAGCTGCAATTCAAAGCTTGACAACAAGGTATGGAAACAATGTGGGGCATACAAAGCTGCCTTGAAGCAGGGCAGACTGTTCAGCAATCCACTCTTACAGGTTCTCCAGGGCCTCAGAAAGAGGTCTTCTCATCACCTGCTGGGAGGACTGGTTGGGCAGAAGACCAACAAGCGATAAAGCAGAGTCAATGACAGGCTGAGCCAACTAATTTGCAGTATTGTCATAAGAATCTAAGAAGGCCCATCTAGCCCAGCATCCTGGTCTCACAGTGGCCAATCAGTTGCCCTAGTTGGGAAGCCCACAAGCTGGACTCCTTCTATGGTTTCCAGCACCTTGTGTTCAGAAGCATTGCCACCGCCATTCATGAAAGAGCATAGCCAGCATGACTAGTAGTCAACAATAGCCCTCTCCTCCATGAATTTGTTTAATCCTCTTTTAAAGCCATCCAAGCTGGTGGCCATCACAGCCTCCTCTGGGAGTCAGTGAAGAGCTCCTTTCTTTTATCTGTCCTGAAGCTCCCAACATTCAGCTTCATTGAATATCTATGAGTTCTAGTGGCGTGTGAGAGGAAGAAAAACACTTCGCCACCCTCTTTTCTTTGTGCCGTGCATCATTTTATAAACATCTATCACGTCACCTCTTACTCACCTTTTCCCTAAACTAATAAAATAAAATCCCAAATGCTGCAACCTTTCTTAATAAATGAGTAGTTCCATTCTCCTCCTCTTGCCGAGTTCTACAAGGGCAACACAAACTAAAGAGGAGGAAGCAGATAGATGGTGTCAGCCCCTGCGCTCATATGGGTGCAGGTGGTCTGGCCCTTGGGACTTTTTCCAGACTGCCTCCCTCACTGCCCCTACTTTGCACATGGAGTATTTTTTCCTGGCTGGAATGTGTGACTGAAGCCCGGAAATGCCTCTCTCTTGCCTGGGGGAAGGAAACAGGGGTATGTGCATAAAAAGGTAAAGGGACCCCTGACCATTAGGTCCAGTCACGGACGACTCTGAGGTTGCGGCGCTCATCTCGCTTTACTGGCCAAGGGAGCCGGCGTACAGCTTCCGGGTCATGTGGCCAGCATGACTAAGCCGCTTCTGGCAAACCAGAGCAGCGCACAGAAAATGCCGTTTAACTTCCTACTGGAGCGGTACCTATTTATCTACTTGCACTTTGATGTGCTTTCGAACTGCTAGGTTGGCAGGAGCAGGGACTGAGCAACAGGAGCTCACCCCGTCACGGGTATTCAAACTGCCGACCTTCTGATCAGCAAGCCCAAGGCTCAGTGGTTTAACCCACAGCACCACCCGCATCCCTAAGTATGTGCATAGAAATGAGATTACTGTACAAAGGTAAAATTGGCATTTGTTGCTCTGATCATTTTTGCCTCTGGTCCTATCCACCCATGGCATGTGGCAAAACCTTTTCCTGACCTTGCTTTAAATGTACAGGGAAGTGTGTGTGTGTATGCAGTGATTCTCCCCACCTGCATTCTGAAATGGTACAGTTCAGAAACAAGTTCATCTGTCATTTATGTGGACTAGTATAGTATTGCATTTAATTTTACTTTATTGCAAGAGAAGAAACTGGCAGTGTTCGGGGTGGAGTTATCTCTAAAAAATTAGCTGCCCAAACCCACTTCTGCATCATAAACAGCCTTTAGCCACAGTTTAGGCCTGGACAAGCTGATCTGTTCATCTGTCTGAGGATGACACGTACGTTTCAGATTCACAGGCAGAATAATTTCTGTGGCCCGAGGTGTTCTATGCCGCGGCTTTCATTCTGCAGCTTATGGATCAAGCTCAAAATTATGTGCCGCTCTGCAGCCGTGCAGCGCTCACTGCTTGAACTTCAAAGTTAATCTAGATCTCAGCTGAGTTTAATACCTGAAGATCTAACTCATCATCTGCCAGTTGACAGAACAGCGGTAATTAGGAAGACTGTTAAAACAGCTGAATGTGCTAAAAATAAGAGTCTATATTGGGGATGTTCTGCCCCCAGTTAGCAATTAGGCAGGGTCCTTTTGAAGGTTGAGAGTATGTATTAGGGGTGTGAATGCTTATAAGATACTATCAGACACAATCAGGCAACTGTCCTTGAAAGAGAGTCTGAGCTTGCATATTAACTGTGGTGGTCCACTGTCATGGAATGGTTGGATGCAGAGGAATGGTGGGAGGAACCAGCTGGGGAACCCCCGGGGAAGATGTCTCAGAGCCCAGGTATTGCTGGTGGGATGAAGATGAATGGTCAGAGGAGAAGTGGGTGAAGACTGGGAGGAGGAGGTGTCAGAAGTTGAAAAGGTAACAGGGCTTAGTGAGCTGGGAGAGTCAGTGGCAGAGAGGAGTCCAGAATCAGAGGAAGAAGCTGAAGCAGGAGAGGAAGTCAAGAGGCAGAGATGAGTCAGGCTGGTGAAGAGTCATGGGTGTCTCCCCCTCCTGCTGTGACACCTGCAAACACCTCTCCCTCCTTGTCTCCTAGAAGCACAAGAGGTATGAAAAGAGTGGAGGATGCACAGAAGCAGTCTTCGATTGCTTGGGGGAAACCCTGGAGAGGAGGGGATTTAGGCAGCTGGCCAGCTGTGGGAAGGCGGGAACCTTCAGTCTCAGCATCTGCTTCATGGGGATGAGACCTTCCAGATATGAATTGCTGTGCTCATTAGGCCTGACACTCCTGTACTGATTGTGTTTTTGCTAATAAAGAATTAACTCTAACTTGCACAGTATGATTTACTGCTGGCTCACCTCTGACATCCACATTCTTCCTTGCACTCACATGACACCCAACATACAGGAGGACCAAGTGTGCTTGCTCTTTATTTGGGCTAGAAAGATGGCATGTCCCATTAAACTTCTGGATAAGCGAAACTCAGTTCTAGAACTTATCTGTACATCACAATGCATTAAGGAATTAAACCCTTCGGGGGGGATGTGTAAGGCAAAACTTCCCATTTCATAGCTGGGAATAGGCTTTCTGAGCAAAAGAAAGAAAGAAAGAAAGAAAGAAAGAAAGAGAGAGAGAGAGAGAGAGAGAGAGAGAGAGAAAGGAAGGAAGGAAGGAAGGAAGGAAGGAAGGAAGGAAGGAAGGAAGGAAGGAAGGTTGGTTTTAGGATAATGTGCAGGAAGGGTGGAGGCAAGAGAGAGACAATTGTTCTTGAAAGGTGTAAAATCCAGATTCCAAGACTGCCAAAATGTGGAGACAAGGCAGTTTGAGACCTGTCAAATCCACAGCCATAAGAAGGAAAATAAAAGAAACCCAGATATGCAATATCAGGCAAAATGTGCCCACTGATGTCCTGGGTGACTCTGTCTCCTTTTAACCTAACACTAGGTTTATGTCTGAATTCATGGTGACCTGCTGCCAGTCAGTACAGACAGCCAGTCAATTTAATGATTATCTGCATTGTTTTTAGCAGTGTTTTATATTTTATCATTGAAAACTGCCCAAATATTTTATGATATGGCAATACAGAAATACTTTTTCTCAATAAACAACATTACATTTTATTTACTGGCCACGCCAAAACTAAATGAGAATTGTGGCACCATTTATTTATTTATTAGCAATGGTGAAGTCAAGATTCCCCAAAGAGAAACAGGCCTCAAGGGCATTCTAATTTAAGAATTAATTTGCAGCAGAAACCAATTTGAGCAGCTTCCTTAAGTTTTCACCTTCTGCAAGCAGCATCTGGTCCAAGTCTGCCACATAGCTGAAAGCTGAACCAAGCAATCACATGTCTAGGGGCTCAGCCTGTACTGTACTTGAGCTTCAACCTCATCATGAAAGAAAAGCTGAATCACAGAATCATAGAATTGTAGAGCTGGAAGGGCCATCTAGTCCAACCCCCTGCAATGCAGGAATCATTTGTCCAGTGTGGGACTTGAACCCATGAACCTGAGATTAAGAGTCTCATGCTCTTCCAACTATATTGAACAAAGGAGCAACAAGACCTCAGAATAGGCCTCCATCTACCCAGTAACACCTACAGTGGTACCACGGGTTACTGACGCTTCAGGTTACAGATGCCTCAAGTTACAGACTCCGCTAACCCAGAAATATTACCTCGGGTTAAGAACTTTGCTTCAGGATGGGAATAGAAATCTTGCTCCAGCGGCGCAGTGGCAGCAGGAGGCCCCATTAGCTAAAGTGGTCTTCAGGTTAAGAACAGTTTCAGGTTAAGAACGGACCTCCAGAATGAATTAAATTCATAACCTGAGGAACCACTGTACTCTGTCTGGCAGTAGCTCCTTGGGGTCTTAAGCAGAGAGGGCTTTTGTTTACCACTTCAAACCTGAGCCTTTTAAAAGAACCGATTATGCCAAAGACTGACTGGAGAGTCTTCTACAGCTGAGCTAGGGTCCCATGCTGCAATTATATCTATCATCTATCTATCCATCTATCATCTATCTATATCTATCATCTATCATCTATCACCTATCTATCTATCATCTCTATCAGCTCCCTATTTTTCTGTACGAAATGGTTCAGAGCAGCTAACGAGAGGGTAACTGGCAGGGTGCAAAGCTTTGCCATGTTATTGAAATGATCATATTAAAGCATATATAAAACAAAGGGAGCAGCACCAGCCAATCAAATTATCTAAACGGCTCTCCAATGCAAAACAAACCCTTGGTGGAATAAATAAATAAGGCCCATCTCGTCCAGCATTCTGTTCTCACAGTGGTCCCAATGGGCAAGGCTTGAACACAACAGCACTCTCTCCAGTTGCAGACCCTCCAAGCGTCCCTATTTTCCAGGGACATCCTTGATTTAGAGAAGCCGTCCTGGTTTCTGATTTGATCCTGGAATGTTCCACCTTTCCTCAAAGGTAAAGGTAAAGGGACCTCTGACCATTAGGTCCAGTCGTCACCGACACTGGGGTTGCGGCGCTCATCTCGCTTTATTGGCCATGCATGACTAAGCCGCTTCTGGCGAACCAGAACAGCGCACGGAAGCGCCATTTACCTTCCCGCTGGAGCGGTACCTATTTATCTACTTGCACTTTGACGTGCTTTCGAACTGCTAGGTTGGCAGGTGCAGGGACCGAGCAACAGGAGCTCACCCCGTTGCAGGGATTCGAACCGCCTACCTTCTGATCAGCAAGTCCTAGGCTCTGTGGTTTAACCCACAGCGCCACCCATCCACCTTTCCTTAGGATGTCCCATTTTCATTGGAGAAACGTTGGAGTTATCCAACCCCCAAGCCATCTGAAGGCAATCCTGTATAGGGAAGGTTTTTAAAAAATGTTTAACGTTTTATTATGTTTTTATGTGTGTTGGAAGCCACCCAGGGTGGGCTGGGGCAACCTAGTAAGATGTGTGTGGTATAAATAGTAAAATTATTATTATGGAATGGGTCGTTCCTATTTTCATCAGAGAAATGTTGGAGGGTATGCATTTGTGATTCCAGACAACTGGCATTCAGAGGCATGATGCCTACAACTTTGGAGGGAGAGCATAGCCATTGTGGCAAGTAGCCACTGTTAGCCTTACCCTCAGTAAATTAGGTAGCAGCTACCCTTATTGAAAGCTAAGCAAGGTTGGGTGGAAAAAAGATCGGTCAGGAATCCTAGAAAATAAGTAAATAAGTAAATACTACCCTTAGAGATTGCACCATAATCTAAGACTCGCACTAGGAAAATTGACATCTCTCTTTCCTACCCAAGACACTAATGATATCTTTGGTCAGCATCCCCATTAATGCAATTCTGAAAACACCAGCTTATGAAGTGGCGGGGAGGGGGGCATCTGAGTGGAAATATTCCAGCAAATGCATCAGTTTGTTGTATATCATGGGTAGGCAAACTAAGGTCCGTGGGCCGGATCAGGCCCAACTGCCTTCTTGATCCGGCCCACAGACAGTCCGGGAATCGCCACATGGATCGCCAGTGCACACGTTCTTTCCCTCTCCCTCACACGACGGTGCCGCTTCTGCCTCCTCCCTCCCTCCTCCTGGCTTCTCCCTGCCCTGCCTAGAGGAGGAAGGGGGCTGGGCTTTGTTGGTGCCAGCAGCAACAGCAGCGCTCCAGCGGCCGCCATTTTAAGCAGCCCCTCTCCGGAACCCTTTCATGCACCGCATGTCCCACTGCCACCAGCCCCTGCCACTCGCAAGACACAGGTAAGCAGCCACCAGGGCTTGTAGTGCTCTTGCATTATTCCCGCCCCCCAAATGTAGTCCAGCCCCCCGCCACAAGGTCTGAGGGACAGTGGACCCGGCCCCCTGCTAAAAAGTTTGCTGACCCCTGTTGTATATATTTAATCTGAGAATTTACAATTTGTGTGTATGTATGTGTGTGTGAAATACAGTGAGTTAAAAACTCAACCTTCAAGTCCAGGCAACTGTGGGATTGTGTTCAGAAAAGATTGAAGGGAGTAGGGAGAGAGACAGCTCAATACATTTTATGCTACTTTGTTCTTTCAGGAGGAGTGAAGGATGTTGAAATAAATCCACCTCCAGGTAAGTTAAGTATAATTATCTGTCTTCCCCCCCAAAAACCAAACCCATTTCTGAAAGTATAATACAGCAGGAAGAAAGAAAAGGCTGTGATCTCCTCCCCCACCACCTAGCCAACCCAAGTAAACAACATTAAATGCAAATTCAGAAAAGGAAAGTTCACGGCCAGGGGTATTGAAGTGAGGTTGGAGTGTGTGTGAAAGAATAGGCATGCATCTCAAAGTTTCTTCATATTTAGGGCCGCAGTGAAAGCTGAAATTTCTAAATGGAGGGGGAGATGCTGGAGCACAAACAAAACAAAAAAACACCTTTTCAAATCTCAACACATTTGTCTTGCAAAATATTAAAATAAATGTACCAGCTCATCTCTGGTTCTGCCTGCTTTGCTTAATAAATGCTTTGGTTAATAAAAGCTCAGGCTGAAGACAGGGGAGTGTTATTCTCCTATCCCACTGCTAGCCTGTTCGTGGTAGTGCAACAGGTAGTGCCCATGAGGTGGAACAATTCATTATCCCTTTGCCATAAATGGTCAAGCAGGTTTCATGTGGCTTTAGAAACCCAGAAAGCTGTTCGGCCCGAGGCAAAGGAGGAGCAAAAGGGATGTTTTTGCACATGGTAGTAAGAAAGTGCCTCTGTCAATCAGCTTTCCCAAAAGTTGTGTCTGTAAAAAGAGCTCTGCTGGATGAGAGCAAAGGTCCTGCTCCTCCAGTGTTCTTTTCTGACAAGAAGCCTTTGGCAAGCCTGCAAGCAGGTCATGAGCACAATCACACTCTCCTCTTCATATTCCCCAGCAGGTGGTGTTTATCAGCTGCTAGCCATGACAGTTAAATAGAACCTCCACATTCAGCTGCAGTCTAGCTCTGAATACCAACTGCTGAGGGGCAAAGGAGACGGCTGTTGTCTTCAAGCCATGCTTGTGAATCTTCCAGTGACATTCAGGGGCTCCCTGCTGGAAAAAGACACTGGGCTCAGAGAAGTTTCCATGCAGCAGATTTTTGACCAGCGAAAACTGCAGGCCGTGGAAGAGAGTTTGTATACATATCAGAAGGTGGTGAAACTTTTTAAGCCTGCATTCCCACATGGGCAAGTTTCAGAGGGCCAGATGCCAGAGGAGGGCCAGGCACAATGTGACCACATTTTATTGGACACCAGGATGCTGCCTTTTGATCAGAGGACTGCTTCTCTCTGTGGGCAAGTGGAGCATACCCTCCAACATTTCTCCGAAGAAAATACGGATGCCCTAAGGAAAAGTGGGACACTCTGGGATCAAATCAGAAACCAGGACGGCTTCTTTAAATCAGAGATGTCTCTGGAAAATAGGGACGCATGGAGGGTCTGGTGTAGCAGTTTCTGAGGTGTGTGTCAGACCCTCCAAGTGCCCCTATTTTCCAGGGATGCCCCTGATTTAGAGAGGCTGTTCTGGCTTCTGATTTGATCCCAGAATGTCCCATTTCTCTTTAGGCTGTCCCTATTTTCAGTGGAGAAATGTTGGAAGGCATGGAGTTATCCGACCCCCCAAGACATCTGAAGGCAATCCTGTATAGGGAAGTTTTTTAAATGTTTAATGTTTTATTATGTTTTTATATATGTTGGAAGCTGCCCAGAGTGGCTGGGGCAACCCAGTAAGATGTGTGGGGTATAAATAGTAAAGGTATCATTATGGAATGGGATGTCCCTATTTCATCAGAGAAATGTTGGAGGTGTGGTATGTGTTTATTTCATTGATGGCAGGCTACATAACATAGACATTGCTACAACATTTTCCACCCGCCCTCTTTTGGCTCTTTTAGATGTGGAAGCCATTTTGTGTAATGCCAAACCCCTATGGCAGCCATTTTGTAACTGCGGCACTCATGTCACTTTCTGAATGTTCCAAATGGGTCTATGGGTCCCAAAAGGCTAGTGCCCTATGTCCTGCTGTCACTTGTGCCTGCCATCACTGAGGGGCAGAGAGGCTGCAGGGCCCCAGAGTTCTGCCCTGAAATCTGGTTCTAACCATTCCTCTAGATGTTCCTTCTCTTGAATTGCTCCTAGGAAGACCCCAGCACCAAAAGCAGGCATTGAAAAGTAAGCGTGCAAGCCTTACGGCTCAACAATGACAGTCCCATCAACCCCAGAAGCTTTTCAGCGCTGGCTATTTATGACTGCAGAACGAGTTCATTTTCTGGGAACTCTGAACTGGTGTCTCAGCCACATTTTCCTGCTACTTCTTTCCATTCTTTGCATCCTCTCTTCTCCCTGACGCCTCCCTCCAAATGATTTTAATTCAAGTGACGTTTGTCCTGTGTAGAAGGTTTTGAAGATAATGAGCATTGGCAGCCCTTAAATGATCTGCCCATGTTTTACATTCTCCCCTATCAAAAAGGAGGGAGGTAAATACTTAATTCATGAGCAATGTGTTCCATGTGAGATATCACACACACAAGATTACCTTGGCATAGATTTTCCTCTGGCCCCAACAAGATAAACAGCCTGCATGTGGTTGCTCAGAATGGGAGAAAGTTCAATGGGGCTTAATTTCAAGGACACATACATATGTGCAGGATTGTAGACAAGTTATTCCCATTGCTTTTTTTTTTTTTTTTTTTTTTGTAACACACTGCTGACATGTAGGATTGAGGTGCAATCCTATAAAATAGGGAATGGGATTTTAGCCATGCAGAAGTTGGAAGTTTCTACATGTAGACCTCACGGACCCCTCTTCTTTCTCCATCCAGGCAAACAAACGAAAAGGGCAAGCAAAGTGATCCACATGAAGAAAGTTTGCAACCTTCAGGACTTCTTAGTTTCAAGAAAAGGTGACATGGTAGAAGTTTAGAAAAGTATGAATGAACTAGGCAGAGAGATTTCTTTCTTTCTTTTTCCTTTTAAAAACTGTTTTTATTAAACTATTTCTATCTCCCCAGGCAGCACTGACTCTTTTACAAAGCCAACTTATTTCCAAAATGTCATCATCCGGAACTCCAAAATGTGGCCCATCTCTGCTTCCTCTATCTTACATCTCCATCAGGTGTTATTAGCATCCTTCTAAATATGGCTAAGAGATTGAGCCTTTCTTCTTAGCCTTTCTAAGTTGCCATGCGAAGCAGTGTTGACTCCAGGCTCCAGAAGGGCGGGGAGCAAGACATCATTCATGCTCATCGTCCCTTGGTGAACTGGCCTCTTCATTGCAATAGGCGCAATGAGCTCTGCTGGGGATTGAGCCCTCTCCAGAGGCCCAAATATGCTGACTCTTGTTGCCAGCCCTAATGCAAACCAAGGCTGATTCACACAGTTTATTCCAGTTCCTGGGTGTTTTTGTAACTGATTTTGCAACTGATTTGAGGTTTCCCCTGACATATGGACCCATTCTGGAAAAGTAATGGAATATAGTACACACTTGGCACTCATTTCCATGTTATTTGGTTCCAGAAAAGAATCCATTTGCAGCCCCCTTAATCCAGGAAAACTGGGGGAGTAAAGGGATGAAATTTGAAGCAGCATACCAGCATAAAGTTCTTTCCTGCAGTTTTCATGGAGGAATCACAGGGGAACAGAAGCACACAAGTGTGGAAAGCGTGGGGGAATAGCAGCATTGTCTAGAGATGTCCAGTGTTGTGCCATGCACTCACTAGGGTGAATGACTTTACCCTGGCATGCTGGCAATTCAGTCAAAAATCCACAGTTCCATAATGCAACAACGGGTATTGCAGTGTGAAAGCAACATTAGAAAATGAGACGGAAGTACTAGCATTGCATCAGGAAAAGTAATGCTATATTCCTCATTTCTTGTAAGCATATATTGCATCTAAAGTTGCCAGGCCTTTGCTTGCAAAACTGAAGGTTTTCACGATAAACATCTCAATAAGCAAAAGCATTGGTATAAATATAACCCTCTCTCATATGAAGCTGGCTGCGAGAGAGGCTTAAGTCACTGGGAGAGGGAAGAGATGACGATCCCTAAATATTTATATCTCAGCAGTGGAAAGTGGCACCAGAGGCTCAGGGGGGAGCCTGGGCTTTAAGAAGACAGGAGACAGCTCTGTTCAAAGGCTTTGCAAAGGCAGGGGGAAACAGGTAGTCTGGCACAGCACTAGCAGAGTGACAGAACTGTAGGCTAGATCAGGAGCGGGGAAGTTTTCTCAGCCCAGGGGCCACATTCCCTTCTAGGCAATCTTCTGAGGGGCCCATGCTGATGGGGGGGGGTCATAGGCAAAAGCAGGCAGAGCAACAAATGAAAATTTTGCCTTTATGCAGTAGGCTGGTTTCTACACTTGCGCACACACCTCTTTGGATCCTCCACCCAGGCAGGGAAGAGGAATTTATCAGAGTTCCAGAACAGTGCAAGCAGGACCACCAGTGAGGGTGTGTGGCCTGGGAAGAGGGAGTGTGGCAGAGCATTCCAAGGGCCAAATAGAGGGGTCTGGGGGGTCACATTCAGACCTGGACCTGAGATTCCTCACTCATGGGCTAGGTGGTCCTTGCTCTGATGCTCAGGAGCATGGAGAATCCAGAGATGACCCAGGTGTCCATTGGGAGCTGGCTGGTTGATCAAGAAGGGGAAGGAGCTGCCCAAGATGATATAAACACCTCCCTCTTTACAGGAGCTTTGCTGGCATAACAGCTGTCTAGTGGGCAGCTCCAAGTGACCCTGACCTCAGCCACCATGCACCTCACTCTCAGGTGTGGGGATCAGCCTCCACAATAACCCAGCAAGGCAATTCTAACACAACAAGCAAGCCATAGGTGACCCAGTTCCAGAAACAAAAGGCCTCAGATGCACACACAACACTGACATTCAAAGCTGCCTTACCTCCAGTTCTGTGGGTGCTTGAGGCTCACATATGGAGCAGGCAACACCCATTCGCAAGTCGGAGTCAGTCGGAGAGCATACCAGACCTTGGATAGCTCCAATGAGACCTGCTAAAGCAGCTTCCAGGTAAGTGGGGTCTGCAGGGAGCTGGCACCATTTGAAGCCTTATGTAGGAGGAGCTGTCTGGTTGGTTAAAGCATCCTCTGCTTATTCTGTAGCCTTTGGCTTCTGGAGAGGCACAGGCATTGCAGCAGTCTCATCCTCTGAGTCAGAAGATGGTGATGGTGCTGTATCCTGCAGGTATGAGGCCTCCCAATAAGGTTGTTCTGAACCTCAACCATGTCCTCAGCTGTCCAATGCAAGGTCCCCAGGTTATGGGGCCATGGCACCAGATAGACAGAGTTGGACCATTGTTCCATCTAGCCTAGTGATGCCTGCTTCTACTACAGCCCTGTTGCCTGCAATTGCATCTCACTCTTAGCTAGATTTTAGATTATGTGTGAGGAGAGACTGCAACTACTTGCTATTACTCTAGAAGGGATGGGGTTATTGGAAAAGTAGAAGCCAATCCATTTTAAGGCCATCTGAGATGGCACATGGGAGATCTGTGGTCAGATTTAACAAGTTAAGGTGAGTTCTACATGTCGCAAAACAAAGAGATGAGGACAAAGAAAGAGAGATTTGCAGGGGGGGAAATGCATTGATTTGTGTCCTTATTTGCAAATTTAGAAGTATTTACTATTATTTAAATAGAAACAATCAATTTTATCACAGTCCAGAACCCTGTGAGCCAAAGACCAGTGTGACTGCCCTGTCCTCTGTACAGCTGTTAATTTCTGGTGGAAAACGTCAAAGCCTCACTCTCCTTCCAAATGGTTTTTAGCCTTTAAAGAAAAATCTCCCCATACTTAGGGATGTAGAGTCCGTCAAATAGAGGAACACTTCAAATAAAGACTTTCCTGTATGGTCACCCAAACCCAAAACCTTTTTCTTTGGTTAATAGCTGCCATGAAATTGAGGCAGGGCCAAGTGCCCAGGGGGAGATAGGAGTTAGTCCTTTGCACCTGCAGTTTCCAGCAGATTGAATCCCACTGTTCAGAAGCTATTAGCTTCAGAAAGAAGACAAGGTGGGTACAAAAAACACCATGTCTGCCACTGCTGCCTCAGCATCATGGCTGCATCCGTCATCATTAGCTTTCTTGACAGACTTTCATCTATCTGACAGAACCTTGGCCTGACGTCTTGCAGGTGTTGGACTCCAGCTTCCATCAGTCCCCGTGGCCAGCATGGCCAATGGTTAGGGACAACAGGAGTTGGGAGTTCAATGGCATCTGGGTGGCACCAGGTTAAGGAAGGCTGCCCACAGATGAGCGAGAAACAGAACTCAGCAGTGGGGAGATGCAAATAAAGGGGTGGGGCCAGTGAAGGCTTGCCAATAAGGGTAAATGGGGCAAAGCACCACCAACCACAGTCTGTTCTCGGTCAGAGCTTACCATGTCTGCCGCCTTATTTCCAGCCAATCAAAGGGTGGCTATGCCTGTCATTGGCACTGGAACTGTCTACTGTTGGTCTTCTCCCCAGCAGTCCCAAAGGGCAGCAACCAGCCCCTGGGTGGGACTATGCAAATATCAGGCCCAATTCTCATTGGCTGAAGATTAAACCAGATCAGGGCCACTCCAAAGTGACAGATCAGGCTCTGAATTGCATTGCGGGGGGTGGGGCGGAGGGAGGCTTGTGAACATAGCCCTAGCATTTACTCCTGGGTGGGGAAAATAAAATTCTGTATTTGTGGATTGCATGCTATAAGGCTCAATAAAAGGCATTAATTCAATATTAAAACTCCCACACACATACAAAAAAAAAAGCACCTGTTATAAGGACAGGCTGTGAACTAGTGCTTAATAATAGTTACAGATGCCCATGCAAATCTATTTTTGTCTAGTCATCTTTTAATTTTTTTAAAGTAAAAAACAGCATTTTCTTTCATACTTGCCAAAAAGCTGTTTGAAATCTGCTTCCCCTGACCCATGCTGAATAAGCCTCTCAGTTTCTATATTCAGAGCACAGCTGAGGCCAAAGTCTCTTAACACCCACCGAAAATGAATAATTTATGCCCCCTTCTCCTTGTACAGAGAGATACAAAGCAACTTAATCATGGGGACTCTTCTTTGGGGTTGGAGGGTGGGACTGAGAACTTTCTGCAAAGAAAGACAAAAGGGAATTGTCCCAATATATATAGTCAGGCAGACCATTCCAAAAACACGCACGAAAAACCAAACACCAACCAAAATTCACACTAGTGTATGTTTAGCAAAGCAATTTTGAAGAAGGCAAAAAAAAAGTCCTAATGGGAATTAAAATTCTTAATGGGTTGTAGTTTAGGGATGGAGCAATTGCTTTGCATGAAGAAGGTCACAGGTTTAATCCTGGGCATCTCCATGAGAGACTGGGAGAAAATCCTGTTCTGAAGCCCTGATGAGCTGCTGCCAGTTAGTGTTGACAATACTGAGCTAGATAATAGCAGCGTGTTCACAGATTATATTTATTGAGTCCACAGTTTGTGTAAAGAACAGTTGAGAGGCACAAATTAGCATGTTACACTCTTTCCCATGAACACTTGTCTATGTGCAGAGACAATGTGCTCCTGTGCTCAGAGTTATGTGTGAACAATTCTAATATATGGAGACATCCCCCCCCCCAATACACACACGCATCATGTTGGGGTGGCCAAATCTGATGCACAAAGTACATCGCCATTTGAATCGGTTGAGAGAATTTCCAAGAAACATGTCACTGTACCACAATGGATGCTGACTTTTTATTTCTTTTCTTGCACACTTTATATTTCTTTATATGGTATTTCATCCTTTATGTCCTGAAGGTATAATTTCATTTTTTCCAGGGATGGAAGCCGGAAGAAATCAATGCTACTGCTTTCCTCTTGGGAGCCACACATTTCTGATCGTTAAGCCAATGAGACAACCACCAAAGGGAGTACGTTGCCATTTGCACAGGAGCTTTTCCGCCTCTCACCAGGAGAGTTTGAAAGGATCTGGTGCCATGACAGCCTGCATTCTGCTGTTGTCCTGGCTTTCAGTGACAACAAGCCTTTCCACCACCTGCATCTCACATTTATACATGGTCATTACGTAAACTCCACAACTAAGAAATAAAGCCTGAGTTTTCTTTTCCTTTCTCCTTCCTCCATCCCAATCCCCTTTCCTTTTACGTTATGCCTTTTTAGACCATAAGCCTGAGAATTGGGGCTATCCTATCATGAACATTCGTGCCCTGCTCTGGGAGCCTTTTCCCTTTTTTATTGCTGAAGAGCAGGATATAAAATGCTTTAAATAAACAAATTAAAATAATATTTGGTGCACCCACACTGAAGTCATTTTCTTTCATTCCAAATTCCATTGTTAGCCTGGGGCAATTACCCGCCCCTTCATTTTTTTTTTATTTTTTTTTTAAAGCAATTTATTGGGTTTTACAATAGGAATAAATGTAATAAACAATATAGCATTCGTCTTAACATAATTTCACATTTTCTTTGGACTTCCTCACATCTCCCGCTCCCACCTTCATCATTATAACATTTTGTCAGCAATTTATCATCTTATTTAAATTCTTATATCTCTTCGATATTTCATAATCTTAAAGTTCTCATAAAGAGTTAAACTTTCACAACTTTTCTTGTTTCCTTAAAAATTTCTAAGTTAAGTGGTGCTCAGTTATTTAGTCCAGCATCTTATTCAGCATTCAATCAAATCACAATGTTTTTGTAGGTAGTTCTTAAATTTCTTCCAATCCTCCTCGATTCTCTCTTCTCCCAGGTCACGGATTCTGCCAGTCATTTCAGCCAGTTGCATATAGTCTATCAGTTGCATCTGCCATTCTTCCAGTGTGGGTAGATCTTGGGTTTTCCAATGTTTTGCGAGTAGTATCCTTGCTGCTGTTGTTGCATACATAAAAATGTCTGGTCCTTCTTTGCCACCCCTTGGCTGACAATACCCAAAAGGAAGGCCTCTGGTTTCTTAGTGAAAGTATATTTAAATACCTTTTTCAATTCATTATAAATCATTTCCCAGAACGCCTTCACTTTAGGGCATGTCCACCAGAGGTGAAAGAACGTTCCTTCACACTCTTTGCATTTCCAGCACTTGTTATCAGACAGGTGGTAAATTTTTGCGAGTTTGACTGGGGTCATATACCATCTATAAATCATTTTCATTACATTTTCTTTCAAAGCATTACATGCAGTAAATTTCAATCCATTACTCCACAGCCTTTCCCAGTCCTCAAACATAATATTATACCCAATATCCTGTGCCCACCTTATCATAGCCGATTTAACCATTTCATCTTGTGTATTCCATTCCAACAGCAAGTTATACATCCTTGAAAGTATCTTAGTCTTTGGTTCTAATTACCCGCCCCTTCAGCTGGTTCTTTCACGCTGACTTCCTGAAATATTTTCATATTGGGAGTTCACATGTTAAGAATGGAACTGGGAGATGTGGGAGGAACTATTAAGACCTTGAAAGGGGGCAGAGGAAGAGCTACCTTTGGGAAGAGCAGGAATCTCCAGATCTCTACTGGAGCTGTTCTGGTTTCCAGGTGTTGGATAGTGCCTGCCCACAACACTAGGTTTGCTTCTGTTATCATGAGGACTAGAAAAAAGATTTGCCAGAGAGGAAAACCTCTCTCTCTCTCTCTCTCTCTCTCTCTCTCTCTCTCTCTCTCAGAGCCACCCTTGGTCACATGATCCTGTTCTGAACAGCAACAACAACCCTGATGCTGAACTCCAAGAGAAAAGTTAGGTTGCTTCTGATGCCTCACCCAATTCCATTTACAAAAGCAATCATGCCGGCAGTTGAATCTTCAACATACTACACTTATCCTGAAGGCAGAGGTCTATCTTAGGGGGCCCAAAGACATCTTCGTCCACTGCCCAACCCTCAGCATTTAGTTATTTATTTGTTTGTTTGTTTGTTGTATACACCACTTTTTAAACAAAGAAACTCAAAACAGTTTGCAAAAAGATAAAACAATAAAAATGAGGAAAAATTCACACCCATACTTTAAAACATACGAAACTTAAAATACTAAAACAAATTGAAATTGCCTCCTATGCATCCCAAGGCTGCTGTCTGGCAGTAGAGCTGACCCTGAAGAGCCCAGGCTGGTGTATTTTCCTGCCTTTCAACCTCACAACAACCATTGAAAGTAGGCTAGGCTGAGAAATTACGGCTTGCCCACGTTTGCGGGTTAACTTGATGGCTGGATAGGCATTTGAGCCTGGGTCTCCCCTTGATCTGTCCACATTGGGTGGGAGAGATGAGGTGTCAGGATCACACCCAAACTGTTTATGCCCCCACCCCACCCCTTCTGTTCCATGTGGTAGAAGGTGCGGATCTAAATCTTGGACCTGAGTTCAGACACTTGACACCCACATGTTCATATGGGGGGGGGGAGCTTTTTGTACTCTATTTAGTTGCAACCAGATTGCCATCATTTTGCAGACCTCAGCATTCCAAAGAGCTGGTTATGAACAAAGAACCCTCTTCTCTTGCTGAGTCACATTAAATGTCATCTAGTCTAGCATCCCATTTCCCAGAACAGCCATCAGGATGCTTCCAGGAAGCCCAAAAGCTGAAGGAAATAGGCCTTTTCTGATGTTTCTTTCCAACAACTGAATCTCAGGTGTAAATTGCCTCTAAATATAGCAGTTATTTGGCTGTGTTCAGATGTTGAATTAAACTATGCTTTCATGCAGGTATGGGGAATCTTTTTTCCTCCAGATGCTGCTGGACTACAACTCCCATCATCCCTGACCACTGACCTTGCCTGCTGGGTTGATGGGAATTGTAGTTCAGCAACATCTGGAGGGCCAAAGGTTCCCAACGCCTGGTTTAAAGGAACAAGAATGAAACCATCCTCTCCTAAACTCACATACTCTATCCTCCACGCTCCTCTTCTGATGTGACATCAAGAGATTGGAATTGTCCACTGCCATTTTAGAGTAGCCATAGTTTACCATGTCATTTTCATCCCAAACTCTGGTTGACCTTACCTAGAATTAATGGAAACAAGCCAGCTTCATAAACTAAGTGTTGAAGTTGATTTATTTCTACTAACCAGATTTAAGATTAAACAGAGTTGATTCAAGTTTGGATGACACTGTGTATACTGTGGTTAATTTGTACGTATAATGGAAGCAAAAGCTGTTTAGCTCCTCATTTTAGCAGCACGGTGGGGAGGTGGAAAGTGCAAGCCCAGAGGCTACACTTGTTATTGCAATGCTAAACCAGGGTTTAGTGCTACATTGAACTAACTCATTGCAGGAATGGAAAAACCTGTCAATTTCTACATACATTTGCGATTTAAAAGAAAATGAAAAATGAAAATTTGTACACATTCCCACGGATGTTTATTGTAATATACAGATTTTTTGCAGTTTCCACTTAATAGAATGTATCCTTGCATGCTATCTTTACTAAAACACAATTTTTTGTACACATTACTTGAAGAACTGCATCATAATTTGGAAGAAGTGTACATTTCAAAGGAGGGCTGTATTTTTGTTTGGGCATTGTTTGGAAGGTGTGAATCTGGCGAGTTTGCACCAAAATGTAAACTGAGAAAATTTCACCCCCATCGCTAGCCTACTGACATATTTCTTCTTGTGAATTTCTCTAATCCTCTTTTTTTAAAAAAAATAAATCTCAATTAATGACCAACTTTACCACATCCTGTAGCATCTAATCCCACAAGGCGATTCTGCATCGTGTAGTGTCGTACCTTGGAAGTCAAATGGAATCCGTTCCAGAAGTCCGTTCGACTTCCGAAATGTTTGACTTCCAAAGCGTGACTTCTGATTGGCTGCAGGAAGTGCCACCAGATGTTTGGCTTCCAAAAGAACATTAGAAAACCGGAACACTTGATCATTCAGGAGCCAAAACGTACGAGTTTCGGGGCATTCAAGAATTTAGGTACAATAGTACTTTCTTTTGACTACCTTGATGAATCTCCTGTCAGTCAGTTTTGTTTGACACCCCCAAGTTCTTATATTATGAGACAAACATCTTTCTATCTTCATTCTACACACTACCCATCATTTTGTAAACCTGGACTCTTTTTTTGGAGGGAGGGGCTTCTTAACTGGTCTCCAATCCCCTGATCAGTTCAGTTTGGCCCTTTCTATATTCTTACTCATTTTATGATATCCCTTTTTTGGGTAGATCAACCATGCATTCTATATGGGATCCGCTTTGGGATTCCATATTCCCTGATATGGAAGCTCCAACTGGTCCAACAAGATGGGCTTGCCAGCACAACATGGGCTTGCCAGCACAACATGAATCCAGGGCTAAAAGTTTGCACCAACTCTCCATACACTGCTGAGCCTAGTTCAAAGTTCTTGAATTAATTTGCAAGGCCCTTTACAACTTGCATCCAGGATACCTTAAGAATTTCCTGGTTTCTTAAAACCGTGCCTGATCACTGAGATCTTTGATGGTACCCAAAAGGGCCCTTTTACCAAGTGCTTAGAAGAGGGAACTCATTGTGGGTGTGACAACACTTTAGAGAATTCCATTCCTAGGTAGAATTCCACAAAAGGGCAGAACTATTTAACAACAATCAATAATTGGCTGGCCCATGCTATTCTTGGTTATTTGGGAAATTATTTTTATTCCCTGTGGGTTACTCTTGCTGGCTGCTTGATATAAACCTGGAGTTTTGCCCAAATAAACTGCATGCCATTTCCACCCCTAAGGGGTTTTCCAAAAATAAAAATTAATCACCAAGAGGCACTGTTTTATTATTTTTATCCAGCACAGACTCTCCTTACTTGGAAAGACAGGTTGAAACTGAATGTGGCAGGGGCCAGCAAAGCCAAACATTGTTATTCAGTCACAAAAATCACCGGGTGACACTGCAAAAGGGGATGTGATTTTTCTTCCCTGTGGAAATGTTGCCAAAACTTCAGTGACCAAAGAAAGGGTCTTGTGGCAATAGAAGCACCTTAACAGTTAGGGCCATTCAAAGCTTAGATACTGAAGCCACAGCTGCACTATACATTGAAAGTAGCATGATACCACTTCAAACAGTCACAGCTTCCCCCAAGAAATCTTGGGAAGTGTAGTTCGTTACAGGTGCTCGGATTTGTTAGGAGATCCTAATTACCCTCACAGAGCTACCATTTCAGTGCGGTTAAACGATCAATCCCTCTCCCCAGGGAACTCTGCCTATGTTCAGTAGAGCTCATGCTCAGTGAGCAAAGGTATGGAGCCTTAGTGATTGCAAAAACAGACAAGAACTGGTATTGGCTGCCTTTAGAAATATACAAAAACCCTTCCTCCAAAGCTGGCTCAGCTGCGCTTCTAACCCAGATATTAGACCACCGAGCACCACAACCATCTAAGAAATATTTTCATTTACACAATGCCTGTCACACAGACAATTCCCTAACTCAAAAATCCAGAACTCTCACCAAAACAGTGTTCAAGATAAGCCTCCACCAAGTTTGGAAATCATCTTGCTATGCTACATGGAATTGGTAAACAGCCTGAATTCCTGCTGCTTGTACATTGTTTGATGGTAGCCACTGTGGATAAGAAATTGTTGGGGAAGGGCTGTAGCTCTGTAGTAGAGCACTAGGTTTGCCAGCAGAATGTCCTAGGTTTGATTCTGGCATCTCCAGAAAAGGCTGGGAGAGACCCCTGCTTGAAATGCTGAAGAGTTGCTGCCACTCAGTGTGGAACAATGCTCTTATGTGCTGTAAGACACCTTGATGGAATCACAGAACTGCAGAGTTGGAACGGACCCCAAGGGTCATCTAGTCCAACCTACTGCAATGCAGGAATCTTTCACCTAACATGGAGCTCGAACCCAAGGCCTTGAGATTAAGAGCCTCATGCTCTACCAACTGAGCTATCTCAGCTATCTTGTAAGTTTCCTGTATAACTGTTTGTATATCAGATATCCTAGCATTTGTGGGGGGATCCTTTGAGAGCAAAAGCTGTTATAGTATAGTATCAGATATACTCAGTGCACTTAAGCCTTAAATGCATATCTTATTTTCCCCAGACAAATGAACTGCATAGTCAGAGAAGGGGTATGATGCAGTCCCAGAGGTTGGTTATAAAAAAGATAACCAGCCCCTCCATGTTGCCATATCAAAGTCCACAGCTGAGACCCTTCCTCAGAAAGGGAGTATGGCTGCAAGAGAAAGGACCTTTTATGTTGCCCCCACCCCCAAGTTATCTCCCTAAAGGGGATTCTCAGAAACTACTTTAATATGTTTTTTGCACCAGGGAAGGAATTCCCCCCATGCCAAGCTTTCAAAATATTTTTTAGAATAATTCATTTTAGTGTTTTAAATCTCTGCATTCTGCTCCTGTTTGGGGATAACAGTTAGAGGTTGTTGTTCCTTTGTTTTAGTTTACAAGGGTTTTAAAGAGTTATCTGCATCATATGTGCTAAGAGCATAAGAAGAGCCCTCCTGGCTCAGGCCAAAGACCCAGCCAGTCCAGGACTTTTTTCTCATAGTAGGCAGCCAAGTGCTCTGAAGAGAAGACCTCAAGCAGGACATAAGTGCAGCAACACCCCCACCCCCAAGTCCAGAAACTAGTATTCAGAGAGACACTGCCTCTGACAATGGGGGGAAGCACAGACATCTCTAGCCCAGCATCCTGTTCTCATGGTGCCCACCAAGATGCCAGTGGAAAGTTTGCAAGCAGCACCTGAGTGTAACAGCAGGCTCCCCACTTGTAACATCCAGCTGCCTGTATTTGGAAGCATGCAGCTTCCAAAAGTGGAGATAGAACACAGCCATCATGGCTAGCAGCCATGGGTAATTTTAGATGCTTTGATATGATCCTTGCTTCTGTAGGTCTTTTTGTCCTGAGGTTTTGTTTTCTGCACAATGGGTTTCACTGGCATTGCAATTTGCATTATGGAGGTTGGTGTGTGTGATTTATTTATTTTTTTGCCTGGCCTGGAAAGATCATTGCTTAATTATCTCCGTCTTTGAGTTTACTACCATCCCCTTTAATTAGGATATTTAAGAACGGATGAGCTGCTTTCTTGCAGGTAGTAAAAAGTGCCTTTGCGCTTTTGTCTTTTAACACTGCCGTTTATATACCAACAAGAATATATATATATATATATATATATATATATATATATATATATATATAATCTCCCCCTGCCATGCCAGCAAGTTAATTGCTGCTTTCGTAAGAGGAGCCCAGCAAATGAATCTTCATTGGGGATCCTGATGAGAACATCTGTGACTTTGTCATTTCAGTCTGAGGTTAATAAGGCCACTTCCCAGCAGGGGGATCAACTAGTTGTCTTCACTGTAAGGTAATCAGCTCAACATCAAAAGGTAATGAGGGAGCGCCAGCTTTCAAGCTTACTTGCATCTATTCCTTTCCTACCTTGAAAACTGGCTGTCTTGCTGCTAGGTGCCCACTGTTTGTTTATTTATTTTACATTGCTGCTAATTAAGGTCATCAGCTTAAGGAAGAACCTTTTCCCTTTAGCCTCACCAACCCACCAAATGGATTTCTTGATCAACACAGGAGGCAAAGTCATACTGAAATGTGCGATGGAGTCTAGAGCCTCTGGTGACAATTGGCTAACCTGCACTGACATCACAGAAGGAGAGGACAGACATAGAATCTCATTGGCCGGACTGTTTGGGTGGAGAGGGGGCATCTTATTATTAATCTGAAGATTTAAAACCCTCAATGCAGAGAAGGCTATTGAAAGACCCAAAATATGTACTACACGCACATATCCAAGGAAAGACACCCAAGGGTTGTATGCAAGGTTAGCGATACTTAGTTGTTTCCATGAATCCCAATAGGTGTATTCAATCAGCAGTGTCTCCAAGTAGATGCAGGGAAGGTCCCCTCTCCTGAAATGCAGGACAGCTACTGCCTGTTAGTGAAGATCATGCTGAGCTAGATGCATCAATGGTCTGATGTGGTATAAGGCAGTGATGGTTGTGAGAGTTTGGCTAAACAGGGGTATTTAATATTGGTTACTGTTTGTGTCTCTCAAACTACCCAAGGTAGGGCATTCCAAAGGTTAGGGTAGTGCAAATCTACTGCAAATCATCCCATGATTTACAAGTATTTTCTACCTAACGTGTGTGTGTGTGTGTGCGTGCGCGTGCGCGCGCACACACACACATACACTTATTAAAGGTTTTTCTTGGGTAACAACAGAACTCACAAAGTCTCTGCTTTCAAGTCATAGAATCCTTCGAACAAGTCAGTCATATTCAGAGTGAGACATTGTTGTAGGCAATATGGGGTTGAGGGAGGAAGTGGGAAGAGTGGAGGAAAGGGGAAGACAGTAAAATTTCATTTTGAGCAAAGCATTTGTGTCACTGCCACTTAAACAGGTGTTTTGTTTTTGCTGGCAGTGCGAGAGAACAGAGGGCCCAGGGTGTGGTCAGTTGCAGTGTGTGTGTTTGGTGGTGTGTGCTGCTGCTGTTGGGTCTAGTTAACCATATTGATTTCTATGTGGTGGGGGGAGGTATTGGTTGGTTATTGTCTTGCTTTCTTGCACATGTAATAAAGAGGTGATTTTAAAAAGTATGATGACTGTTTAGATGCAGCAATGAAGCCACTTAAATGTAACAGTGGCGGCATGGTTCAAGAAACCCCTTCCTCTCTCTCTCTCTCTCTCTCTCTCTCACACACACACACACACAAACAGACATACAAAATTTACTTAGTGTAATATCCACACAATACATTTAAAGCACTCAAAGCATTTTAAGAATCATGGTTTCCCCCCATAGATTCCTGGGAGCTGTAGTTTGTTAAGGATCCCCTAACAACTCTCAGCACCCTTACCAAACTACAAGGTTAAGGGCGTCTAGTATGTTGCTCTTATTTAAGGCTGGATTTTTCTCCTTATTGTTTTCCTACCCTCTCCCCACCTCTCATGATTGGCCACATAATAATAAGCTGCTGCTCAGCATTTGAAATAAGCACATTGAAAGACTTCCCAGTGCAGAATAAGTTCTTACTGCGGAACATGCCATCCTGAGGCAGTGAGTGGAGAATGTCTCCCCAGATGCATGAAATATTAACATTTTTCCTCCTTAGTCCAAGACAAGTTTCTTCCACTTTGCGTGAATCATATTCTAGCAGCGCTGCAGCTTTTCGGTGCAGCTGCAGCTTTTGTAGTGGTTTGGAAAAATACTGGCTGTCATTGCCTGCTTTCTGACTTCGCTTTTCCTTGATACTTTCCCTTCACGGTGGATCAAGGCGAACTCGCAGGAACTCGCAGGCTATATGCCCCCATATAGCCAGGAGTTAAAAAGGCACACACACATACCCCAAAGTTCACTCCTCCATTGCCTCCCAACTATGTAAAAGTCATAGCTCAATGGTAGAACATCTGCTGGGTGTGTAGAAGGCCCCAAATTTAATTCTCTGCATCTCTAAGTAAGGCAGGGAGAGAATTCCTAGTGAGCTGCTGCCAGTCAGTGTTGACAGTATGGAGCTTAGTAGGGCAATGGTCTGATTAGTTATTAAGAAAATTCTAGGTTTCTTTTGTTCTCAGATTTAGCTTGCCTATGCCCCCCCAAGTGAACAAAGCTATGTTATTATTATTGTGAATGTTATTTATTGAATTTATACCCCACCATTCCTCTTCAAGGAGCCTGAGACAGCAAGGAGATGCACACTTTAAAAACAAAGTAAAAACAAAACAGTTTTTAAGAATTCTAAAAGCACTTTCCGTCAAAAACATTCTAAAAGTAGATCATGGTTAAGAACATTCTTCCATTCTATGTACTCGGGGTGACCAAGAACAGTATTCTTCCTCCTAAGGAAAACAGGAATGTTTTCAAATTCTTTTTCAAAGTTACTAATGATGAATATGGCCATACCTCACCAGGAAGCCATTCCTAAATAGAAATGTTCCATACTGCAACATTTTGTTGCGGGGCCCACTTAAAGTTTTTTATATGTCAAATGCAGGAGTTCTTAACTAGCCTTATCCTTTGAATGTTTGCAATATGGCACAGGGGATTTGTTTTCAAGGGGACACATTCAAAATATATTATCCCTAATCTTCTGTCTCAGATTACGCAGTCCAAGAACAGAGTTGTTGTTTCTTTCACTTGCTGTTTGTGATGTGAAATGAGCCCCAAAAGCTGCACAACAGACACCTAGAAAGAGCTGTCTTTCCATTAAATAACTTTTTGATGGATTCATTTTCTGCCTTTTCATGAATTCATTCACTTTCAGAATCATAGCATTTTGAGAGGGGGTAACTGATTCTGCCTATGAAAACCTACACAGTACTTCATGATCCTCAGTAAATAATGAGAAACAAAGACAGGTGAGTCACAAATGAATAATTATTGGGATTTTCAGGAGCTTTTGTGTAAAAATAAAAAATAAAATAAAAATACAGTTATTCTCCCTGTACACACATGAGACATGACTCAAATGTCCAATTAGCATACCTAACATGACAGCATCAAATGCATCTAAAAGTAACAAATGGTGTATTGGTTTTAACAAGCTTTTTGCTTCAAGTGCTTAATTAACTGTACAATTAGTGATCCCAGTTTTAGGATTTCAGAAAGCAAAGTACAAAAGTTGTGCTATGAACTGAAACAGACAATGGTGCTTAAGGGAGTTGGAAGTGATTTGGAAGAGACATCACTTCCTATGGTATACGGCACACCTGTATTTTGCACCATTACTGACCCAGGTTAAAGAGGTTTGGCAGGTTTTGGAAAACATACATACCCCACCAAACCTATTGAACCCAAAGCAAAAGCGGGACAAAGGTATGCAAAACAAGCAGCTATCCATCTTTCAAACTCCCTTTTCTTTTCTGTTTAAAAAAGCCATTTATCTTTCCCATTTATCTTCTAAAGACAAATATTCGTATCTGTCTCTCCTATCCCCATTCGACCCAGAAACAATATTTATTTATTTATTTATTTATTTATTTATTTATTTATTTATTTCAATGCATTTGTAGCCCACCTTTTTCTCCTGTGGCCCATGGCCCTGAGCCCTCATGCTGCCTTCCCAAAGCCAGATGGGCAAGGCACCAGGGTTTGGAAAGGAGGTTTGAGGCTCTGGCATGGTCCTAGAGCCCTCCCATCTTCTTCCCAAAGCAGGGAAAGTGTTAACTATGCTCTAGGGAGGAGACTAGAGGACTCTAGGACCTGTCAGAGTCTTTATGCAGCATCCCCAAGTGCCCTAATTACTAGGCTTTGGGAAGGTATTGTGGTGGTTGCGGAGGGGGGCATCAAATGTTGTTGAGGGCCACCCAAAAAGGCCTTGAGGGTCACATGCAGGCCTTGTTCTAGATGTTACTGAACCCTGGCTATTGGCCATGCTTGTTGGGGCTGATAGGAGTTGTACCTCAGCAACTTCTAGAGCACCAAAGGTTCCCCACCCATTGGCCTCATTTGGTATTGTAAGCCAGCTAAAAGCAAAATTAGCTGAATGGGAGAACAGTAACAGAATTTTAAAAGATTGACTCTACCAGAGGCAGTGAGCTCTCTTTACAAGATGTGCCACGATAAGACTGAAGCACCAATTGCAAAGAGATGTATTAACAGAGAGAATAAATCCACAGGAGAATGATTGAACCAGTGAGTGAAATGTCAGCTAATTGTCAGCACACTATTGCAATGGCAGATTTTTTGTCTCCCTCCCCTACCCCAGCCCAATGAAAACAAGCTGGCAAAATACCAGCTACCATAACACCATCCAGAGGAAGATAAGCAGTGTGCATTTATTAAGTGATCACATTTTGCTGAATCCAGGCTTGCAAATTTAGCTGACAAGAGTTATCAGCCTAACGGGCTGCAAGCACTTGTGCTGGGGATTCATTGACTAGAAGAAATAAAGAGCACAGGTGGTCACTTTTGTTATGAATTGCCAGAAGAGGTGAAATGCATCACAAACAAAAGCAGGCAAAGAGGACACCAGCTTGCCTAAAATGTGCATTTCCTAATTTATATGTTTAGATGTAAATTCAAACATAAAGGCTTCCCTGGAAACATAAATGAAGTCATCCAAGCTCATCCCAGCAAAAACCCTATGAGAGGTGTTAGGTTGTGACATCAGTGATTTGCTTAACACAATCCAGTGCACTGGAATTTGATCTTGTGTCTCCCTTGTTATGAGTCTAGACTACAAACTATATAAGTACTTACCTGGAATTTAGTTCCTTTGAACTAAGAGGGATTTGCTTCTGAGTAGACATACTTAGGATTGCAATGTTGTTTGTTTGTTTGTTTGTTTGTTTGTTTGTTTGTTTGTTTACAGTATTTTTAAGTCACCCTCTAGTAAAACCTTCTGGGTGTCTCTACAACTAAGTAATGAAATCAACAATCAATCAGTCAAAACAGATGAACAGATAAATCAGTCAAAAGCATCAATTTAGAATCAGCCTTTAAAATTCAGCAGGACTGAGTAGCCAGCTAGAAGCCAAATATAGCCTGCAAGTCAGAAATAAGAACAATAGCTCTCACTCTATTGATCTTCAGCAATGATAGCCAGATCTTGGAGGCACTATATAGCCAAGATCGCTAGTAGCTATTGGTAGTATCCAACTAAATAGTACTCAGAGAAGACTTTCAAAAATCAATGCAATTAGGTTAACTGATTTAAATAGGTCTACTCTGAGGAGTGCTTTATTTCTGGAAGTGCTCAATGGTACGCAGTACTGGCACCTTTTTTCCTAGAAGAAAAGCACTGACTCTAAGGATTACTTAGTCACATGGTACCCATTGATGCTGTACAGGAATTTGCCATTAAGAAGCTTTGAAATAAGCATACCTAGCATCGCAGCCTTATGGCGAGCCAGTTTATGAATAAGTTATAGTGTGTGAAGGACATGGGCTACTTGTAAGGAGGGCACTTGCCTCCCTGTGGTATCACTTATGGCTCTGCTTTTTCCCTAATGTAAAAGTGTCGGGGGGGGGGGGGGAGTGTCACAAACTGGCATGTCAGGTGCAGCGCCCTTCCCAATGCAGCTTCACATTCCAAAGCAACAAGTTATTTGATTTTGGCAGCAGCATCAAATGAAATTAGAGATGATGAGTCAGAAATGCCGTTGTTCCTGTAAATACTGCAAGCACCACTATGTTAACAATATATCACTAATTAAGAAGGGGGTAAAATCCTAGAGAGACAGACTTTCAAACTCCCACCAACTTCAAAGGGAAATTTGGATGGATCTGAATTTCAAATCACAGAGGTGAACATCTGTTCTCATCGCCCACAATGTTTAATATTAAACGCTTGCCAACGCAGGAGGTGGCTCCCTGCAGCCAAGCGCCTATCAATCATGATTCAAGACTTAGGTTAGATGTCAAATTCTTGACACTGATGAAATCTGCTTGCTTTACCACCAGCACTACTCCTGGTTGCAAAATCCACAAGCAGCAGTCCTTTTGACAAAGGTAAAGTTGGGGAAATGTGCAGTCACTCCACCTGTGTTCAGGTCAATAGAAGGGCATAATCCTCTGACTTCATCCCCACAGTTTATTTTCAAGCCAGCTCTGATCTGGTCAGGGCTGGATTTAGGTTTGATGAGGCCCTACGCTGCTGAAGGTAATGGGGCCCTTTATATGTCCAGCTGCCTTTGTCAACAACAAATTGTCGCCATTTTTTGTGTTGACTATATACTATATGGACCATGCAACCAGTCCATGCAGAATGTAGGCACCCTATATATAGAAATGAGCAACCAGTGATATTTTAGGGAGCAGGCTAGCAGGCGGGGCCCATTATTTTACATCATAGGAGTCTACACAACACAAAACACTGTTGCTCTATGTAGGCTTTATTTTATTTGTTTTTTATCTTATATTTTGGGAATGTACATCCAGGTTTTTTCCCTTTGATTTTTTTGCCTGTCTCCAAGAGAGTGGGGCCCTAAGCTATAGCTTGTTTAGCTTATACGTAAATCCGGCACTGGATCTGGCTATAGTATTTCTGCCCATTGCACATTTACAAGAGCTGTCATCTGATGAAAGGGAACTTAGTTAATCATATGAGTTGTGTTTGATTCATCAGATACTAAATTGGTAAAATCTGCACCAGTTTGTATATAAGGAGGGAGAGAAATCCACCCCCCTCAACTCCAAGAGATGTCTCTTCTGTCTGCAGTTTTTATATCTAGGAGGAACTGTTGAAAGGACCGGCTAAGTTTAGCTTGGAGCAGATAGCGTTAAGAGGACACATGATACTAGCTGCCTTCAAGTTCAAGTACTTTATTATGGTCACAGACCAGCATAAGCAAAGCATCTAAATAAATAGCATGACAGTATGAATCTAATAATTATTAAATAAATAGGAGCAAGAACCAAACGTAGATTTAAACATATACATAGAATACTTAATCAAACATAGATAATGGGTGAGTAAAATTTATAAGAAAAATTAAAAGATCGGTTAACACAGCTATATGGGGTGGGCTTCAGAAGTGCAGATCTAACAATATGGGCCTTCAGCTTAGGACTGAATTGTAGCATAGACCATTCTTCGTCAAATATCTATCACGGCAGCGCAAAATTTGGCGACTGAATATGTGACTTCTGGGCTCTTGTCCTGTAGTAATAGGGAGATGTTGTGTTGTTCTGAATGCCCAGGAAACTTACTGTATATAAAATGAGTTGGATAAACCTAGTTTTGAATGTCTATATAATACTGGCAGTGAAGAAGGGCACGCTCCATTGTTTCCTGCTGCCCAGAGCCACATGGGCATTTCCTCTCCTCGTAAGGTGTCTTCCTATAACAGCCTTCCTGAATTGCTGAAGGGAGGGCCTGACAACGGGCCAAAGTGAAAGCCCTTCATTGTTTTTGTATTTCAAGATTAACTATGTACGGCATTTGGGAAGTCAAGTATCTTCCAGTTTCTTCCAGTTTCTTCTAAGTATCTTCCAAATTTTGGGGGACCTGGCTAGGTCTATCTGTTGTTCTATATCTACCACACACTGTTTAATGTTGCTTTTTGCTTGTTCGTGCCCCAAGTTGAATACGATCTGTGGATTGAATCCTAAAGTTGTTATTATATGTTCCACTGCTCGCTTCCATGTGGACTGAAATTTGTCTATAATAGGGAAGCAAGGCCACTCGGAAGGAAGGCTAGTCTCACTAGCTGCCTTCAAATGTCTAAAGCAAAGTTGGGGAAACTTTTTTCAGTCTGAGGGCCACATATCCTTCAGGTCATCCTTATAGGGCCACATGCCAGTGGTGTGAGGGGGCAGGGGCAAAAGTGGGAGGAGCAACAAGTCTACACTTTACCATTGCACCATAGGCTGCTTTCATCAAAGACTCACACACCTGTCTCTATCCTCCATCAGAGAAAGCAACAGTCATTAGCTTGGTTCATTTATTCATGTTTGGTGGAAACACCCCCATGTTAAAAACTTTTGGAATAGAGTATTCCCCATTATATCTGCAATTTCAAGCCAACCCCTTTCTCCAAATCCTGCCTTAGCCCTACTATTTTTGCACATAGACTTAGGCTCCACCCCAAGGGCATAGTGAAGATTTATTTTAGGTGGGGCAGGTTTTATGTTGGGAAGGGGGACAGAACCAAGTTATCTGTGGTGCAATTGGTCAGTTAATTAAGTATTTTTATTTATAACCCCCCTGGCTATGCCCTGTACCACAGTGATCTAGTAGGCTTCTTACTGGCTGCAGTATGCTTACCAATAGCTCAGCAATGGAAGGACAAGACTGAAGTACCCCTGAACATATGTGGTATGGGATATAGCAATGTCTGAGCATCTCACCAGGCACACAGAGCAATTAAAGGCATAGCGAATAGAGACAACTTCCAGGGAACATGGACATTCTTTCACTATGTTAATGACCAAAACCAAGACCTTGTTATACCAACTGCTCAAAATTCTCAGTGAAGAGGTTATGCTAAGTAATATGTTTGGATGTTGAATCTGTATGTCTAGAGACAATGGATAAAACAAACACCATTAGATGTACTGCTGGATAAATGTCTAATGGTTATTGTATTTGTTTAAAAACTAATAAAAAAATTTTTTAAGAGTCATTGTCAGAGTTCAAGAACAGGTGAAAACACAGAGAAGGGTGCAGTTGGACAATGGGTGTAGCCTGAACAAGGGCCAGAGATAGAGGCCTGGAGAACCATGTTTGACCCTTGGGCGTGAGCTTCCCCTCCCCAGTCTAAAGAGTTGTGGCCCTATCTGTCACCAACTGACTGGACACAGAGGAAGGGTGGGAGGCACCCAAAGGAAGAGGGCTCCTAATTTTAGCATTGCACAGGGCTGGAATTGGAGAGCCCAGATCAGCCACTGCTGGATCTCACCCTTTGCATCTTCCATGGATGCTAAGAGAATAATGTTGAACTAGACAAGTTTTTAGTCCGATCCGGTGGGACAGTGATGGCCTCCAACTTGGCTGGCTTTTGAGGATTGGGCAAATTTATAGAGGGTAAGCTATTAGTGGCCACTACTAGCCACAATGGCTGGAGATTGGATGGTAGACTAGCTGGGCAACTGGCCTGATCCAGTAGGACTCTTTTTATGTGCTCATGACTCTTCTATGCTCTTATCTTAATTACAGATCTTCTTCAACAGCTTGTTATTCAAAGAACTATTAGTATTTATATTGCTCTTCAGAGCATTCAGAGTACTTTGCAAAGATTATGTGACCTAGCCAAGAGGTGTAATTTTGGAATACTTCTTTTGAATGTAGATAAACTCATCAGGTGAAGAGAACTGTGATCTTGGAATTAATGTTCTTCTGGCAGGAATAGAAGTGGATATGGAAACTAATGGCTTGGATTCATGCTAATTTGAGCGAAACATTTTTATAAAATTCAGTTCCAACAGGCTAACTAAATCAGGTGTAGCCAATGTGATGTCCTCCAGATGTTATTGGACTACATCTCCCATCAGCCCCAGCCAGCATGGCCAGTGATCTGGGGTGATGGGAGTTGTACTCCAACAACATCTGGAGGAAACCTTGCTAGTGCTATATAAACAAAAACAAATACAGCAGTACCTCGGTTTAAGAACAGCCCTGGTTACGAACGATTTGGTTTACGAACTCCACAAAACCGGAAGTAGTGTCCTGGTTTGCAAACTTTACCTCGGTCTAAGAACAGAATCCAAATGGTGAAAGGGCACCAGCGGCGGGAAGCCTCATTAGGGAAAGCGTGCCTCGGTTTAAAAACGGTTTCAGTTTAAGAACAGACTTCCAGAATGGATTAAATTCGTAAACCAAGGTACCACTGTATACAATTTGGCAAAGCACAACTGCTGAGGAAGCCAATTTCTAATTCTCTGCTTCTTTCAATAATATATTCTTGTCTTGTTCCTTCATAATGAAATTTTGGAAACAAGTAATACGATTTCTTCATGAAAGGACAGGTTGTTTTATACACACAGCTAATTTTTAATTTTCCATCAGCATCTTATATGTTCTGGATCCCTGAGGCTGCAATTTTATGCATGTTTACCTGGAAGAAAGCCCCACTGGATTCAATGGGGCTTACCTCTGAGTAAACATGAATAGTATGATACCATTAGAGTCTAAGGGAATTTTCAACTGGACCTCTGTGGAATATTGTCTCTACAATTAATTGCAGCAGTGAATTAAATGTTTCTAGTTCTAATGATGAACAGCCTATTTAAAACACCACAAACACCTGGCTTGGACATTTAAAACAAGCAGTCTTCACAGAACAGGATGTTCGGAGCTGACAGCACAGCATTGTTTGGAAAAGATTGATGCAGAACTTCTTGTTTAGTATAAAGGTGTTGCTTTTTTGGCTAGAGATATGAAACACGGATCTGAAAGACAAATTGCATGTTATGGTTCTGCTAATACTGTATTACTTCCTAGAACAAATGTTGAGCTTTTTATTGCACTAATAAGATTGACATTCAGAGGGAAGAGTGGGGAGAGAATTTGTCCTGTTAGCAGGTGCATTGTGGGAGACAAATTGGAACCTGCCATATTCCTGTAAATTGCTATACCATACTTTCCAATATTTCTCTGATGAAAATAGGGACGTCCCATTCCATAACGATAATTTTACTGTTTATACCCCACACATCTTACTGGGTTGCCCAAGCCACTCTGGGCAACTTCCAAGATATATAAAAACATTATAAAATGCTAAAAGTTTTTTTTAAAAAACCCTTCCCTTTACAGGATTGCCTTCAGGCACATCCAACATTTCTCCAATGAAAATAGGCAAATCTTAAGGAAAAGTGGGACATTCTGGGATCAAATCAGAAACTGAGATGGCTTCTCTAAATCAGGGACATCCTTGGAAAGTAGGAACACTTGGAAGTGTTACAGTATTTGCACATACGATTCCCAGGTCAGGAGCATCCTGGACCCTGAGATTTTAGGGTCCAAACCTGAGACCTAGGGGTGGCCTACAGTGGTATCACAAGGAGTGGCCCCAGTGACATCATTAAGCATGGCACATTAAGCATCAGTCACAGTCTCTGAGAACATGTCATTCAAATAAAAGCCACAAAGACTGGCAAGTGAGCAAAAATGTAAATTGGTTGGAAATTAAGATAGAAACCCTAGCTAAAGTGGGTGTCCAGCTGAAGTGAGAGACCATTCCTTCTAACCTGTCAGGGAGGCTGGGTAGAGAAGGCACTCTCGCCCACCTTCTGCCTGTAACCTGAGGGGAGGGGGCGGGCAAACCTGGAGACTTCAGGGCAGCCAGAGGGTCTGGCAACCCTAGTTACGCATTGGCTGCCAGTCTCTCCCCACACACTTCATCTCTTCCACAGCTACGTCTCACTGGGCCATGCCCCTCATTGCTCCATGCTTTGCGCTCGCCTTGTGTGCCTTGCCTGAGTGAGATGCGTCTTCAAACTCCTCTTGCTTGCATGTGTCGAGGAGAGAGAGGGCTGTGTGAACTAGGTGTAGCAACTAGTCTCCATCACATTTGTCACTCCATCCACTTTTGCCTCTGGCTTTGTCCACCACTGGCTTGTGGTCCCCAGAAGATTCCTTCAAAGGGCACATGGTTCTTGGGCTTGAAAATTTTCCCTGTGCTCAGTGGCAAAGCTTCAAGCTCTGGTGGGGGAGGCATGGAGAGCAGGCGGGGGCATGGCTGGCATGCGTCCCAGGGGTGTGGCGTGCCGCCTGTGGGGGTGTGGCGCCCAGCGCGGGGAGGTAGCCGCGATGGCACCCCACTGGGATCATGCCGCCGGGGGCAGTGCACTCCCCCCGTACCCCTATTCCTCCGCTAGTGCCTGTGCTTGCAGTAAAGCAAAAAACATCTGGAGCATCAGAAATCCTCCTTCCTAAACTTCTGGATGCTTTTCCCCGCACTTCAGTTCCTGGGTGCTGAGATTTCCCAGAATGACGCTTCTCCTCATCTGTCAGCATGTCATGGACTGGCTGGATGCAGAGGAATGGTGGGAGGAACTAGTTGGGGAACCCCCAAGGGAAAAAGGCTTGGAGCCTGGGGATTGGCGGTGGGACGGTGGTAAGTGATCAAAGGGAGAAGACTGGGAAGCGGAAGTGTCAGAAGTTGAAGAGATAGCACGGTTTAGTGAACAAGCAGAGTCTGTGGCAGAGGGAAGTTCAGAATCAGGGCCATCTTAAGCATATCCAGCACCGTGGTGCAAAACTCCCTATGGAGCCCCCCCCCTCTGGTTTTCCATAGTTTTTTAGGGAGGACGGCACTGCCGGCGCGGCTGGAGGAGGCAGGCAGTGGCTGGAGGGTGGCTCCTCTGGTGGGGAAGAGGCAGAGGCTGGACGCGGCCCTTCCCAGCTCAGCTGGCCGCTTTGTGCCGCGGTGGCCACGGCAGACAGAGGCTCCACACTGCTTTGGCATGGCATGGTGGAGGTGGGAGAGAGCAGCAACCTGATACCGGGAGGTGCCGTGTCCAGCCTCCACCTCTTCCCTGGCGCCCTCCAGAACTTGGTGCCCCGGCACCTCGTGCCACTAGCCTCTATGGGTAAGACACCCCTGTTCAGAATCAGGGGCAGAATCCAAAGCTGGAAAGTGGGAGAAAGGAGGCCAAGAGGCAGGGATGAGTCAGGTCAGTGAAGAAGCCAGGTTGTCTCCCCCTCCTGATGCAAGCTCCCCTCACCACTGGTCTTCTAGGACCAGAAGAGGTATGAAGTGGGCAGAGGAGTAGTTAGTTTCATGCAGGTGCAGTCTCAGGCTGCTTGGGGAAATACCTGAAGAAGAAGAGACTTAGGCAGCTATGGGCAACTGATTCATGGGGCAAGACCTACCAGGAATGAGCTGCTGTGCTTATTAGGCCTGACACTCCTGCGCAGATCCTTTTGCTAATAAAGAGTTAACTCCACTCGCTTGGTATGATTTCCTGCTGGCTCTTTCTTGTCACAGCATCTGATGTGCATTTGTCAGAAACTTGAGACAGGGCCCTCTTAGGGGCTGTGTTCTGTTAAATACCAAAGGGGCTGCTTCGCTGATGGCCTTCCACCAGCAGGCAAGAAAACCTTACCTTCAAAAACAAGCGCATGGCCTGCAAAGCTGCTTGGCTTTCTCTGCTACTCTGTGCTTCAACCTGTATCTTTCAATGATACATTTTCTGGCTGCTATTTTTATATATTCCTGTTTGATTCTCCCCCATGTTATGGTTTTTTATAGTGCTTGCTATGTCACAGTTTTCATTGTGGGTTTTACTGTGGTTGCCTGCCTTATAGATTTGTAAGGAAAGGCTGGGCACAAATGAAATGAAATAAAAAGTGAAGAAGGGAGGAGATGAAAACCAGATCTGAAGAGTTTATATGCACAAAACATTTGGACTGTGATTTCTTCTTGACCCCAGGGAAGTAACAGCTGCTGGGAATTGCAGATGGGGAAAGCGCTGTTGTGTTCAGGTCCTGCTTCCCAAGAGCATTTGGATGGTCACAGTAGAACAGGGTGTTGAGTGTGGATGTAATGATACAGCCTATCATGGATGGTAGCCTGAGAGCCTTAAAAATCCATGAATTTATCTAAACTTCTTTTAAAGCCATCCAAGTTGGTGGACTTCACTATGTCTTGCGGGAGGTAGTTTAACTATGCTGCTTTGTGAAGTACTTTCTTTGTCCTGAATCATCCAACACTCAGTTTCATTGGACTGATCTCAGTTCTAGCATTACTTCTTAACTCTATCCACACCTGCCAGTTCTCCCCTTTCAGCATCCTACCAAGTCCATCTCTCCCCAAGCCAGAATTGGCTCTCAAGTCAGAGCCCAGGTGCAAAAAATATGGGTTAAAGATAGCCAAAATCAAGCACTTGCTGTAAGCCCACCTGCACATTCTCTCCTGCCTCCATACTAGCCTTGCCAGTCACCATGCTTTCACAAAACACACAAAGCAACCTTGCCCGATTTGCAGAATTTACACCAGGTCATAATACCTTGCTTTTCTTAGGACACAAATGGGTGCACTTGCATTTGCTACATAAGATGTACTTCTGTTCACAATGGTCTTCAGCAATGGCTCAAGCTGCCTTTCTTAAACCGGTCTTGTTGAAGCCTGACAAAATGGGGGCATCATGGATGGCCAACCCCCAGGGGTGGAAATTATGAAGGTGCCCTCTTCTGGAGAAGTGGCTGCGACAACCCAGTAAGATGTGTGGGGTATAAATAGTAAAATTATCATTATGGAATGGGATGTTCCTATTTTCATTGGAGAAATGTTGGAGGGCATGAGATTCTAATTTGTTGCTGGAGGCCTAAGTTACCTCAGTGGCACAGAGTTCCTGTTCCTAGCTCCAGCTGGTCCAGCTGGGGCAAGGCTAGCCTAGCCATAGCTAAACTTCCTGTTTGGACTACTGTAATTCACTCTATGTGGAGCTGCCCTTGAATATGGCCTGAAGGCTGCAGCTGCTGCAAAATACAGTGAGCATGTCTTCATGGACCTGATGGCGCAGGATCATAGAATTGTGGTATTTCACCATTTGCCATCTTGTCAACAGCCCCAATTCCAAATCTTTAGTTTTGATTGATAAAGCCCTCCATGGCTTAGGATCCATCTACCCAAACAACATCGCACCTCATACAGCCCTTCCTGGGTTCCATGGTTAGCTAAGGAGACTCTGTTAGTAGAGCTAACTTTCTGCAAGGCACACATAGCTTTAGAACTTACAAGACTTACAGGACTTACAGGCAGGGCCTTCTCAGATTTGAAACAGTCTGCCCTATACCCCAAAGTTCAGCTGGCACCAACACAAGCTATTTTGGGGGGCCAGCTGAAGATATTCCTCCTCTGTCAGGCTTATGGCTATCACAATCTTTGACCTATGGTGTCAAAATATTCAGAATGATTGACACCTTGCTTTGATTTTCTGCTTTGATTTTTACATTTTAAACCTTGTCCACCCCGAAGTCTTTTGACACAAAGCAAAATAGAGCTTGCTCAAATACATACACAAATAAATGACACCTGCCCATTGCCATGAAAATATTGTTGGCCGGGGGGGGGGGGAGAGGGTTGAGGCAGAGGAGAGAACCTGATTGAAATGGTTGTGAGGCTGCCTGCCCCTTTGAAGGGTATGTTCATCCCATAAATTGATAATGTGGGTTTATCTCCTTGCTCTAAGCCTGCCTGTGATGTTTGAAGTTCAAAGAACACAGCCTCAGTTGCAATGCTCTTTAAAATATCTGCCACGTCTTCCTGGAGCTCTCTGTACTGAAGCTAATATGCTGTTGGATCCCCTTAGCCATACAGGCTAGACAAAAAAATTAACTTCTGTCTCTTTGCTTTACCAAATGAGGCTGTATAATGAGGTTGTACAAATGCTGATTATGTCAGGTCTAGCAGTGCAACCAGCAGATATTAAGATATCCTAAATGGTCTGTGTAACTTTGAAAAGCTTTCAGCTGAAGCAGAACTTAGTACCATGAAAAACTACCCCCAAATCATAGAACTGTAGCAATGGAAGAGACCCCGAGGCCATTAAGTCCAACCCCCTGCAATGCAGGAATCTCAACACATGGTCCCACCGTCCAAATTGAAACCATACTTGTCCCTGCTTAGCTTGGCAAATGTACTAGCAGTTTTATTGCTGAGCCACCAGGAGGGTCCTGCTTTGCCTATTTAGGGTACGAACAGTTCCAATGAACGCTACTGTGACCTCTGCATTTTGATGTGCATTCTTCGGCTGGAGAACTGCCGTGCAAAAATTAGAGGTGTGAATTTCAAAAGAGAGCTGCTTTTCTCTTCTTCTTTTGGTCTGGGAAGGGCAAGTTGGGTTCCCGTTAAAATCCAACAAAGCATATGACTATCTCTCCTGTCATGGGAGGGTGGGGCAAGGTTCATAGAATCATAGAACTGTAGAGTTGGAAGGGACCACGAGGGTCATCTAGTCCAACCCCCTGCAATGCAGGAATTTTTTGCTCAATGTAAGGCTCGCACCCACAACCCTGAGATCAATAGTCTCATACTCTACTGAGTGAGCAATCCCTCAGGAGAAGACAGCAAATTTCACTAACAGGGAGGGACATAGTACTTTTCTTCATTAGAACTCAAAAGGCTGGGTGCCAAAGAGCAAATTTAGAATGGGCATTTGTACAGGGGTATTGGAAAACTTTTCTTCAAAAAAGCGGGCTGTCCTCATTCCATGGCACATCCAAAAAATGCTTTTGGAAGTTCCCTCAGTTTCAAATGCAGTTTGGCATGATGTGCAGTATACCCAAGAAACCTGAACCCAAATCCCCACAGGTTTTGGGGAACGAGTTGCTCTGCTTAATGCATCCCAGTTTGGGAGTGTTGCTCATGATTTTTGAAATAAGAGTTTAATGCTGGTGCCACACAGCATGCCCAGCTGTAGGGCGAAGCCAACTGAATTTATACCACGTGGCTGAAAATGGGCACAAGGGCAGACTGCTTCACGTGGCCAGAATGAGAATCTCAGAACTCAAACGCCCCTAGAGAGAAGCAAAGAATAATGTTAGCACTGGAGAAATGAGGAAGCAATTCTTTACCACTTTTGAAATCCTTTCAAAGCATGATGTCTTGGGAGGATTTGCCTTCTCATATTGCTTCTTGCCGAACAGGGCTCTGAATGAGCAAGGGGACATTCAGTGGTCGCTATTTTGCCACTATCTCTAATACTCAATCCCTTCTCACCCATGAAGCTCACTGGGTGACTTTGGACCAATCACTGCTTCTCAGCCGAACCCACTTCACAGGGCAATTGTGGGATTTAAATGAGAAGCGAGAGAATCATGCACATCACCTTGAGTTTTGCGGAGAAAATGTGGGATATTTTTTTAAAATGTTGCTAGTGGTTGAGAGCCATATGTTGGTATGATACTGCAAGATACTTGCATGATACTGCAAGAGTGAGTCTCAACTATTTCCAGAGGCAGGTAAAGTGATGATGGAGGCATTAACAATGTGCCTCTGTTACATGAGAATTCATGTTTTCTCCTACTCTGGAAGGTAGGATGTGTACCAATGGATTCAAGAAAAAAGATTCCAACAAACATCTGGAAGAACTTTCTGACAGTAAGAGTTGTTCAACAGTGGAACAGACTCCCTCTGAAGGTGGTGGACTCTCCTTCCTTAGAGCTTTTAAAGCAGAGATTGCATGGCCACCTGTCACGGATGTTTCAGCTGGGATTCCTGCATTACAAAGGGTTGGACTAGATGACCCTCCAGGTCCCTTCCAACTCTACAATTTGATGATTCTAGGAATCTTTAGAAGTAAGTCCCAATGAGTTCAATAGAGGCTTACTCATAAGTTCAGAAGCACAGGACTCTGAAATAAGCAATGGGGATTTGCGCTTTAGTGAGAAACTACCTGAACAAATCAGCAAACTGAAACCCAATTATCCCTCTAAATTCACACTTCTCTGAACAACCAACAAGAACAAAAATGTGCATTCCAGGGGAAAGAGTGCATACAGACATATACATTGGTGAAAACATACAAAATGCATTATATTAGGGACAATTGTCTGCAAAAAAATGTGCATATTAATCTAAACTACATTTTAAAAATTGTTCATATTAGGATAAATCCACATGAAAATGTTGGTGAATTTTCATGAGGGGTTTTGCTGCGGAAATGTGAAGAACTGAAGCAAGGATTCGGAAAATGAGAGGCTGAGGCCACATTCACACCATACTTTTAAAGCACTATGGTACCACTTCAAACAATCATGGGTTCCCCCAAAGAAGTTTGGGAGTTGTAAGGCACTGATGATTGCTAAGAGACCCTCATTCCCCTCAGAGAGCTACAATTCCCTGTGAAGAGAGACTGGCTGTTAAACCACTCTGGGAATAGTAGCTGGGAAATAGGTTGGGAAAGATGAGTTTCTTTTGTGTCTCCTGCATGCCAGCCTATTATCCATTGTAGATCAAGGATGCCTAACCTCTGGCCCTCCAGATGTGGGTGGACTCCATGCCATCACCCTGAACATTGGCCATGCTGCCTGAGGTTGATGGAAGTTGGAGTCCCATCAACATTCAGATGTCCACAGATGTTCCTCATTTCTGTTTCAGATTGAAGACATTTTTAAAATGCTTTCAGTGAATAAATAGAATGTGAGGCTTCCTGCAGCAGAAGTTCAGCCTCCAGATGTGGGTGGGGGCTGCAGGAACTACAGGGAGGGGATGAGGCCAGTGGGTTCATCTCCTGCTCTCCTTCTTATGTCATACTAATATGGGGATGGAGCAGTGGAGAGGATGACTGAATACATCTTACGAATCTGCAAAGTTTGGGTTCAGCTAGTAACAAGCCTTATACTGCTTCAAAGTATTATTGCAACTGATCAGTATAGAAATGTTGTGAACTAAATGAATAAAAACATGATGCCAAATCAGATGGCTGGTCCAACTAGCTCAGCATTGTCAACACTCCAAAGTTTCAACCCTGCCTGGAGATGGTGAGGAACTGATCCTGGGACATTCTGCATGCCAAGCAGATGCTCTCCTACAGAACTTTGATCCTTAACTCATTAATTACTTTTGCCCTGGGCACTACCATTACCTTTCCCACTGAAACTTACCAGGATGAAGTGGCAGTGAGGAGAAGGGCTGCTTCTGGGGCCTTCATTAGGTCACGGTAGCATTACAAGGGCCAGGTCCCCTGGGAAACACAGTTTCCTAGGGCTCCTGGGACCTTAATTTCATTTCCCATGGGTCTAGGGAATCCTCTTGCGGTAATGGAAACCTCAGCCACCACTCTACTCATTGCTAGTCAATAAGGAAAGATAATTTTGGGGCAAACAAATTGGGGGAGGCATGAAGGGTTGGGATAAAGAGGCCCCCCATCCATCATGGTCATGCCTATATGGAGAGCAGCTTTACTTGCTTGTTTGTTATCTATTTTTTATTGCATTTATATCCCACTTTTCCCTCCAAGCAGCTCAAGGGGCACACATGGTATTCCTCATCTCCTTCTCCTCACAACACCCCTGTCAGGCTGAGAGACAGTGACTGACCTAAACCCACCCAGTGAGCTTCATAGCCAAGTATGGATTCGAACCCTGGTCTCCCACGTCCCGGTCTGGCACTCTAATCACACCACAGCACACTAACTCTTCCAAGGTAATGCCTCAAGATGTCATTGCCATTTCCTATGAACCCGTCAGGAGAGGGAGAGAGATGAGATTCGGAGCTCAGAATATGCCTGTCCTGAGTTAGTTCATCTTAAGGAAGGCACTTCTAAGTCGAGCCTAGTAAAGCTCCATCCAACACTGACATCAAGCCATGACTGGCCGAATGTGTGAATAGGCCACTATAAATATATAACACCACAGACATAACCACACATCACTTCAAATGCAACACTTTTCTGTGCGAAATCATTTTCAGACATGCAGCTGCCAGACGTCCAGCAGATGGTGGTGACGTCTGGAGAAGTGATGCACTGTTGTATTTGCTGAAGCATTCCTACTAACTTTTCATACTGTTTGACTTTGTTTTGATGGAGTCTGTCTGGAAATTGTCATACTATGTGCAGTCAACCCTTTGGAATGATTCGGTGCATTAGGTGCACAGCATGTTGCAGTCCACGCTTTAAGGACCACAGGACTGGGTTTATTAAGGAGCATGTGCTGAAATGTTAAGAAATTTATATTTAAGGACACTGAATAACGTTCATAATGGTGATTATGTCATGCAGCAAACCGGTCTGCCCAGCACAGGAAATAATATACAGGGGAGGGAGAGTTTATGTGGGTCTACAGTGGAACCAAAATTCTTGAAAAAGGCAAGAAGGAATAATTAACAACCCAGCCCCCTAGCAAGTCCCCAACTACATGCATTGCTTCCAAAAACAGCCATGACTGGGTCCGTGCAATGAATGTTAAACAGCAAGAAATAATAATAATAATAATAATAATAATAATAATAATAATAGCAAATCAGGTCTGAAAAGTCTGGTCAACACAGGGCTGACTTCAGCTGAGTTCTACTCAGAGCAGACAAATTAAAATTAACGGAGTTAATCACGTCCATAGATTTCAATGACTTTACTTTGTGTATGACGAACAGTGGGCGGGAGGAACCTAGAAGGGCAGTGTTTCACCCGTGAAAACTCCGGGAAGAATCATTCTAACAACTGATACAAGGAAGAAGATAAAAAGAATACCAGACAAATTGGGGGGGGGGTAAAGGCTGGCCAGAAAACATCACGCGGACAGTTAGATAAATCAGCCCCACCATGCACATACTCGGCTCTCCAGAGCAAAAGGAGCTAGAAACAGATATCAAAAGTACGGCATACATTGATACTGAATTAACGGGGGGGGGTGTCAAATTGTACAGTTGGAACTAGAAAGGTTACAAAGGGAGGATGCATCTAAAATCAACACCCTCGTCCCGCAAGACAACTTGTTCAAGCTGTTTCGGGAACGTAGGAGTAGAGTCCCCACTCATTGTAACAATAAGGTTGTATGTTGATTTAACACGCACACTCATCTCTGTATTCATCTTCACTGAAAAACGACACCTGGCCAAACGGTAACTTTATAATGCCCCTCCTCCCCAAAAATAGATGTCGCCTATATTGCTCAACACCAGTCTGTCCGCAAACCACTTAGACTAAATGAGGAGTGGGGAATGGAAGCAGATCTTGAGTTCAGGCAGAGGCTAGTGGGAATACAACAGTTTAGCCACCACCAACCCACAAAGGGTTTTTGGCATAACCATGCTGTGTAGCCTGAGATGCGAACGATTTTCATTAGGCCCTAATTTGTTTATTTTTCGAAGTATGTGCGTGTGAACCACTGGCTCCTGGTCACTCGGGTGCAGGGTCATGCACGTACAAACTGCTGCAGAATCAGTAGCACACCCGGATAAAATCATAATAAAAATCCCCAGCCTGGAGATGTTTCATTTCAAGAACTAAAATTTAAAAAGCTCCGTGAGCTCGCGCGTGCCCGTGAGCGCGCGCTGTATAATAGGAGGGATTAGAGGCTGGTGCACCAAACGTGTGTGTCTGTGTGCATGTTAAATTTAGTAAGGTTAAATATAGCAAGTGAGATGGCAATGGACACCTTTGCACCAACCTCGTGCGCGTGGAACGGATTGTTTGGGAAGCATCGCTCGCTACTCTTCCCCACAACACACACATACACACAGAGGTAATACGCGCGCGCGCGCGCACTCCTCATTCCGATTTCCCCTGCTCTCTCCCAGGCCCAGCCCACGAAGAGCTTTGGTCTACCTTCCGTGCTAGTGGGGCTGTCTATGAGAGTAATCCGCTGGCGCTAACCTCTTACAGTCCTCATCTCCATTCCTGTCCCCGCCCCAACTCTATTTTGTCTCCATGGCAATTGTTATGCATTCAAAAGAAGAAGAAAAGCAATCCAGTCCCTTGCATGGGGAAAAGCTTGAAAGTCAGTGTGGGTTTGGGGAGTGGCTGAGAGAGGGAAGATAAGATGCAAAGCATCACATGTCCTCTTTCGGACACATGCAACCTTCGGTGGACAATTTGCAAGAAGCCCCCCACCAAACCGCACCACCAGCCTTCCACCCCTGTCCCCCGCTTCTTTGCAAGAGCTGTATCTAAACGCTCAGGCCACCTGGCCTGAAAGGGGCTATGACCATAATATCCTATTGTTTCCTCTCCAATGTGGGCTGGAATAACCCACACGGACGGATGCGCTAGTAGATAGGCTCCAACACCAGGTAGTTAAACGGCCCTCTTTTGCATAGAGTTGCCGGGGGGAGGGGCGGCGGTGCCAGAAAGGACACTAGGGGTCGTGGTACCCCATGTCTCTCCTCCATCTGTGGCACCTCTGAAGATCCCTGGGAATGTTGCAGGGTTATTTGGCAGGGAGGAAGTAACAAGGCGAGAGAGACGCGTGTGAAGACTTCTGACTTTTGCCAAGCACCGCATGAGTGAGCATCGCCGGCTATGTTCGCTGCTACTACCCACCCCAGGAGGAGGGGGGAATGGCACGTTTCCCTTGCGCGCATACGCGCAAACACACACACACCACACGCCCCACATATATCAGGCTACAGCCCCAGCCCCAATTGCTACTACTAAGATGATAATTACAAAGAAATAAAGGAGGATGTACTATGCGGGGTTGATATTCCCACACTTCCTGGTACCTCCAGATCTGTTGCAGAACACGGGAGCCGGCGAGGCACATGCTGCCTCTCCCCGCGGCGCTTGCACACAAAGGAAGGCACCCCAACTGTCAGCGCCAAGGAAGACACTGCAGCAATAGAAAAGGTCTACCTCCACCCCCAAATGTGGTTTTCCCGCCCTTCACAATGCTGGAAAGAGGGAGGTAGAAGAGGACCTGTCAAACCCAAACACCTTGGGAAGCCAGCCCCCACCCACCCAGGCAAAATAAAATAAAATAATGCCTTAAAGCAGGTGAACTGGGGGAGATAGGAAAGAGGCTTCCGTTGTCCCCATTTATTCTCCCCCTCCCGTTCTTTCTTCCCAGAGCTCAGTACGGAAAGGGAAAGGCAGAAAGAGAGACAAAGGAAATTCTGGAGAGGAGGGGGGTGTATAGACAAAGGAGTGTTGCGCGGGGTGGGGGGCTGTGGAGAATGCAGGAGGAAGAGGAGGAGAAGGGGTTGGCAAAACACAGAGAGAGACACACGCACACACGCACACACCTGGCCGGGCCCCTTACCTTTAGATGCATCTTTCTCTTCCTTTGACTTGATCACCTTCCCGCTCATAGATCCCAGTTTGGTTGTAAAATCCCCCCAAGAGACCTCGTGTGGACAATCCGACTGGACTTCCAGGAAATGCAGGCAGTGGATGGAGATATGTGGACAGAGCGATGAGAGCGCCTTCTTTTCCCCCCACCTTTCTTTTGTGGGTAAACGAAGAGGGGGTTGAAGAGAGGAGGGAAATCCTAAAAGCAAAATGTATTTTTCTTGAAAAATAATAAATAAAAAAGGAAGGGGACGGGAGGAAGAAGAGAAGGGAAAGAGGGGGAGAAAGGAAGAATCAGGAGGAAATCTTGATGGCTCCTCGTGCTTTTTCCTGGTGCAGGAGGGTTCTTAAAGCCCACCACCACTGCCAAAGACTGTATTGAACCTGCTGGCTGGTGCTGTCTCTCTCCCCCCTCCTGCCTAGTACAGGAGAAAGGGGGGCAGTGAAAGCGAGGGGGGTCCCCTGGACATCCGCAGGATTCTCCCTCGCCTTGGCTGGGAGGTTTGCAAGAGACAAAAGCAGTTTGCTGCCTCTCTCTCCCCCGCCAGAGATTCCCTCTCCTCCTTCCACCTTTCCCAGGCAGTAGGAGAGGAGGAGGGGACCACCACTCCTAATAGCTCCAGCCCACCCCACCCCCACCCCCCAGATGCTACTGGCAGGCAGAGAATTACACACACCTCTCTTGTTCTCCCCACTCAAGCGAAGGGCGGTGGGGTTGCCGCTTGGGGGAGGGAGCGTGCAATTTCCCTGCCTCCCCCCGCTCCTACACACACGATTCTTGTAAAAGTCTAGGGAGGTGTTGGAAGAAACGAAGGGGGGGTCATTACACTGCAGAGAGGGGCGTGGATAAAACTTGCAGGGTTTCTTTTCAAACACAGGAGAGTCGCTCAACAAATTGTATGTTCAGGTAGGGAGAATAGCTATGGGCAAAGCTGTTCCCCAGGTGGAGAGAGAGGCGCTACCTGTTGGGTCTGGAGTAAAAGAGGGATGGGCGGGGGCTGCTTCTGCGTGGCCAAAAAAGAAAGGAGAGCAAATGCGTAATAAAAGAGGGTTTCGCATTTGCATGAAATTTGCATATGAAATTTGCATAGCAACGCAATGCTTCTCCATAGGGAAGCCTATGACCTGTGTGCCTGCTCTCCAGGTTCTGGATGTGGAGCAACTTCCAAGGGCCGCCTTGCCCTCCCTTCTTGATCTTTAAGGCAGACTTCAACCCAGCATCTCTTCCAACCAAGGACACCTTCCAATAAAGGGCTGGCCTCTAAGAGAGGGTTGGCCTCTGTTAAGGAAGGCAGAATTTTACTTCCCTGGGACAGCGGAAGTAAAGAATCCAAGACAGCAATCCTATTGGGCATGCTGGACTGGTGGTAAGTCCCATTACACACCATGGAGCTTACTTCCAAATAGACATGCCTAGGATCATGCTGTTATTTCACAGTGGGTGAAAAGGGCAAAATACCACACCACCTGCACCCAGCTGCTTAGCTCAATATCTGGAAGGCATTAATGCCTTTAATTTTCAGCTGCAACCACCCTGTGTGGATTTAAACATTCACTAAACCAGAGGGTAGATTTACACCATGGGAAGGAGGAAGAAACTCTAGGACCACTTTTTTGAATTGGGCTTTGATGAGACCCAAGCTGGAATTGTGGACCTTCACGTCTTCCTTTTTACCCATCCCCTTTCACCTTCATCAAGTTTTCATCTTACAGCTGCAGAAAATGCAAACAGCTCCAGCTTTTGGTGGCTGCTCAGGCAAGACACCCTCCATGGGACCCCCCTTCCTCAATGAGGCTCCCACTTCACTTCCATTGTCGCCATCCACTGCCCCACCTCTTCCTCACCATTGCAGCCTCCTGCTTGCTTGCCAGTTAGAGAGCCAATGAGCAAGAGGGCTGAGACATCTCTGGCTCCTCAACATCACTGCTCCTGTTACCTGGGCAAGAGCAAGAGGAGGGTGAAGCAAGGAGGCTGCAGTGGTGAAGAGGAGGCCCAGTCCCAGGAGGCCCTTGTTAGCAGCCCCCAGGAAATGCCTGGCTGTGCTGACTCTTGATGTCATGCAGCCCCTGAAGCCAACAGAACCAAAGCTGAACAGAGGAGTTAGAAAGGTCTACCAAGGCAAGAACCATGAGGATAAGTATCCACAACACTTGTTCTCCCACTGCTTGTGAATTCTTCTTCCTAATTAAGAAAGGGGGGGAATAGTGTTTGCCATCCTTTCCCCCCCCCCCAGGTAAGTCCCCATCCAACAGAATGGTAGGACTTGCCAAGTCACCTGGGTGAAAAGAATCCATAGGTTATGTATTGTCCACGCCTTTAGCCGTAAACAAATTATGAAAAATCTGGATTTTAAAATTCTTTAAGTGGTACGTGTGTGTGTGTGTGTGTGTGTGTGTGTGTTTGTGTGACTTTGATGAGTTGAGGAAGTTCTCCAATCCTGGACACACATCTTGGTGTTCAGCCATAATGAATGGCTTCCAAAGGTAACATAATCTTCATCTTAAATGCCAAATAACTCCCCAAGAAGGATGTTGAGCATTTTCTTAAAGAGGAAAAGAAAAGTGATGATTACCTTTGGTGTCACTGAACGTGCATTTTGGAGGAGGCAGAGCTGCGTCCTCCACTCAAAGTCTTGCATTGCAAAACTTAAAATGCAAATTTTGACTGGATTTGAATGCATGCTGAGCTTCTCTTGGCTGATATTCTGGAGTCAGTCAATAAATCACTTTATGCCTAAAACAGCAATATTCCATTAATCCCAGGGGTGTGAAAGCTTTTTTTCAAACTGAGGGCCACATTCCTCTCCAGGTGACCTTCTGGGGGCCATATGCCAGTGACAAGTGGGGATGGATGCAAAAGTGGGCAGGGCAACTAATGTGAATTATACCTTTGTTCGGTAGGCTGCTTTCTGCCCATGCTCACACAACCCTTTCTGCCCTCCATGCAGGCAAGCAAAAGGCATGATCAGAGTTCAAGGACACAGTCCAGCCTGGCAAAAGCACTTGGGATGAAAAGCAAGACCAGAGAGTGGATTGTAGAGATGAGGGGTGACTTGGGGCAAGTTTGAAGGGCCAGATAGAGATAGCCTGCAGGCCTGAGGCCATTCTCAATCTACTCTGATGCCCTCCTCCAATAATGGGCATGTGTCCTACTTTGCAGAATGCAATCCTCTATTTTATGGACTGTTCAGTCCAAGTTTGGTTTAAGGATAATGGATCATAAGAAGGGAGAGCAGCTGGATCCATTAAGTTGCCCATTCACAGTCAGCACCTAGGACAGCAGACAATGTCTGCTTATGTGGGCTGATCCACATAACTATATGATATATAGGTAGCTGCAGAGGATTTTTTAATAAGCTGGAACTCACTGGAACACAATGCCAGCACCTCTCAGTTGGGCATCATTGCCATTATAAGAGAACAAGGGAGGTGTTCATGGTGAGTTCTGACACCTCTTTTTCTAGAAATATAGCACTGAAGGTGGGTAGGTAGGTAGGTAGGTAGGTAGGTAGGTAGGTAGGATCATAGAACTGCAGAGTTGGCAAGGCAGGAATCTTGCACCCAGTGTGGTCCTCAAACCCACAACCCTGAGATTAAGGGGTCTCATGCTCTACCAGTTGAGCTATCTGATAGATGACAGCTGCCTTGTTATCTGACGGAAGCAATCTTTATCTGGTTCAGTATGCATACATTTCACACACTGAAACAATGAGGAGGTTGAAGGGGAGGGAATAACACTTTTTAATGGTTTGTCTTTACATGTTGCCCTAAAGAGAGGCCATCCCGCCTGCAGAAGAGTGAAGGGAGAAGACCTCATCTGAAATGGCATCTAATGTCTCCAGCTACTTATACTAAGAATAATCACCTTTTATGTTAAACAGTGTCACCTGATTAACTGGAGGAGTCTTATTAATTGATGCAAACTTCAAAAGAAGAAGATTAAAACAGATTAAAAATTGCAGCCTTAGAGAGGGAACAATGTGGGTTGCTACTAGAGGACACTAGGAATGCTCCAAACGCATGCAATTCATATCTCAATAGTTCTTTTGAAGGTTTCCCAGCTTGAGTTTTAAGAATGTGTATCAGAAATTATACACATGCCTCAGATTTTTGCATCAGTGGAGAAGGGTTGTAAGTAGTGGCCCCTCAAAAGAGGTAAGCGCACAAGAACATAAGGAGAGCCTGCTGGATCAGGCCAGTGGCTCATCTAGTCCAGCATCCTGTTCTCACAGTGGCCAACCAGATGCCCCCATGGGAAGCCCGAAAGCAGGATCTGAACACAAAACCAACTCTCTCCTCCTGTGGTTTCCAGCAATGGGTATTCAGAAACATTGCTTCCTCTGGCCATGGCTGCAAGGTCAAGCCCAGCGGCTCACCTCATCCAGCGTCCTGTTCTCACAGGAGACCTGATGCCTATTTTAAGCCCGCAAGCAAGACTTGAGTGGAACTGTAGCTCTCCTACACTGACCTGCACTGCTAGTTGAATGTAGCCCACTCAATGAACCCTGCAGTCTGCCAGACACAAGAGGCACCACATGTGGTTGGTGAATTGTTTAGTGGGTCACAAGCTTTGCAGGCAAGAGCTAGAATCAGATCTAATTAATGGCTGGCTACATGTGCATAGGATATATGCTCGCACTACCCAACCCTTCCTGCTCTGTCCCTTCCCAGCCTTTCAGGAAGCACCAGCATTTTAAGAGTGTTGGATAATGATAAGGAGGTGTGGATGTTCCCAGCTGATGTCATCCATCTCCTGGCCAATCACAATCAATGGGGTCTTTCTGCTTCATTGCCCCATTTGCTGTATGAAAGTCAGAACCCCCAATAGTCTGACCCAGGCACAATGTCACAGACAGAATTTAATGAGCAGGAAACATTTGCCTTCTGGAGCTGTCTGGAGCTAGGCAGCAATTAATTCATAGACCACAGCAGAGCTGCATAAGATGTCAGCCACCACAAGCCCTTTCAGTCTGCTTGCTTTTTTCTTTTCTTCTTTCCTTTTTAAAATATTTAGCACTCCCAGAACATTTCCATATCTGGAGCATGGTTTTCTGCAGATCACAAAGGCGCATATTTTGGTATGGTTTTATTAAGGGTCTAATTCCAGGAATGGTTGGATACAGCCACCTCGCTCTGGTCAATGCCTGGATAGGAGATCACCCAGGATCCCAGTGGGACACTCCTTTGAGTTCCATAATGTTAGAAAGTTGAGATACGAGTATCATAGTCTTATATTCCAATACTTATCTCAGGTCTCCACAAATCAGTCCTTCTGTAGCCAAAAGGGCATTTGCCAATGCACAATAGACTGTAAGAAGAGCCGTACTGGATCAAGCCAAAAGGGGGCCCATCTGGTCTAGCACCCTCTTCTCACAGTGGCCAACAGATGCCCATGGAAAGCCCTGAAGGAGGACTCTCCCCACTTGTAATCCTCAGCAACTGGTATTCATTCGCCCATTCCAACAGTGAAGGTGTAATATACGGATTGGGGCTAGCAGCCATGGAGAGCCTTCTACTCCATGGATTTGTCTAATTCTCTTTAAAAGCCCCCCAGGTTGGTGGCCATCACTGTCTCTTGCTGTGTGGTACAACAATGCACTATGTGAAGAAGGCCTTCCTTTTGTCTGTTATGAATCTTCCAACATTCCTCTTCATTGGGTGGCTCTATGTTCTAGTGCAATGAGAGAAGGAGAAAAAAACTTTTCTCTACCCACTTTCACCATACCATGTGTTCTGTTATACATTTATTTAATGTCTCCCTTACTCAAGGTGTAAGAAGGCTTGGTGAAACCCTTAAGTTAGCAGAAACACAGAAAATCTTTAGAAGGCAACTCCAAAACAGCCCAATGGGAACTGAGCATGCTCTATGGCCACAGAGTAGGACAGTCGGTAGAGCATAATCTCAAGGGCCATGGTTCTGAGTCCCATGTTGGGCAAAAGATTCCTGCATTGCAGAGGGTTGGACCAGATGACCCTTGTGGTCACTTTTAATTCTACATTTCTATGATTCTATGAAGTAGGGTTGACCTCTTTATCCAGGACATGCCCTCTTTTTCATGGATATGTAAAATAGTCATCATAGAGATCCATAGTTAAAAGCAGACATCAGCAAATGTATCCTCTCTTTTTTCCTCTTTAAAATACGGTAACCCTACACTGGCCACTGTGGGGCAGGGGACATGGAAAACTGAAAAAAAAGCAGAACAGAGGAGCTAGAATCATAAACAGCAAAACTTTGCATTGCAACATTCTTTTGCAGCCCTCACTTGTCACCCTGAATTTGGAGAAGAGCCATTGTACTCGGTACAATAACAAAGAGAGAGAGTTTATAACACATATTTTAGTGCCAAATAGTCTTTCAATCATTAACACAGCCACTTTTAGATGTCTAAATCTGGGGTGGGGAATAGGTGTTTTTCTTCCTGTTATTGAAAGCCTTTGGAACCAAGCAAAGTTGGACCAGGAGGTGAGAGCCAGGAAAGATGAAATGGTGTGAGCATCAGACAAGAGCAAGAGATAGGACACTGGATCAAATCTCTGCTCAGCTAGGAAGCTTACTGGGTGACCTTGGGCTAATGGCTCCTTCTCAGCTTCACCTACATTGCAAGGTTGTTAGGGGAGGATAAAATTGAGAGGGTGGGCAGGGTTAGGCTGAGCTCCTGCCCTGCAGGGAAGGGCAGGTTTCAAAGGCAAGAAATAAGAGTAAATAATAATAACAACAAATATTTTTTTTAAAAAATAAATAAATACCCAGAACAAACTTAGTTGGGCTCTAAGGTGCTACTGGACAATTTTTTATTTTTTATTTTTTTATTTCGACTGTGTCAGACCAACATGGCTACCCACCTGAACAAATAAAATTGTGTTTTCTGTTTGGGACACCTTGATAAGAATCAGAATGACACTCTTTACAGGTGGTGGCAAAGATGGCACATTGCGCTTCAGAGAGTGCTAGCTGATTGCTCTCAACAGCTATTTCTTTCTCTCCTGAAAGCTGACATGCTTCTCCACACACACTTCCCACAACAAACTCGGCTAAGGATGATGTGATATAAGAACATGCTTTATACTAAGCCAGGCTTCTGATCCAGCAAACTTAGTATTGTCCACACAGCAGGCAACTGTTCTTCAGGGTTTCAGGTAGAAAAATTGCAGCCCTACCTGGAGATGACAGGGATTGAATCTGAGACCTTCTGCATACACAGCAGATGCTTTACCACCAGGGGTTGGCAACCTAAGGCCCATGGGCCACAAGCAGCCCACGGGGGTCATTTAACTGGCCCATGAGCCACCCCAAAACCAAGCTGCCCACTCGGCGAGTCCCAGTGTGCTGCGCTAAACCAGCACAGTGTGGTGCGGGGACTCACTTCCGGAGCACTGGAAATCATGTCTGCGCAGACGCAGACACTGGAAATCGCAAGTGCGCACGCTCACGCACGCGAGCAATCTGGCCCATGGAGGGATCTCTGCTTGAGTGAATCAGCCCATGCGAGGTAAACCTTGCCAATCCCTGCTCTGCCACTAATGTGTGGCTGAAGGAGCAGTGGTTCAGGGTTGAAGACCCATTGCTATTACTGCAGCAGGGTCCCAGCAGACTTTCTGGCTCCAATTTCCTTCAGCCACTCAATTAGCAGGAAAGTGAGTTTTTTAGCCTCTGGAAATAAATCTTCTCACCCTTTGAGCTGATTGGAACCAATTGGAGCTGATTGGAGGGGAGGAGTTTTTGTTTTTGTTTTTGCTCTTGTTCTTGTTTTTATGTAGTTTGTGTTCTCGTTTTGTATTTCTATGTTGTTAACTGCCCTGTGATCTTCAGATGAAGGATGGTATGCATATTTAATAAATCATCATCATCATCAAGGAGGTGATTTAGCCTCTTATTGGCTCCTAGGGTCACTCTGGAGAAGGAGCCCAGGAAGAACACAGAGCACAGATTGTTCTGTGTGCTCCAAAGCACACAGGAACAGTGAAAACACCAGGTGCTTCAGTTTCAGGACAGTGGCTGCAAGTTCTGCTGCGTACAATAGGACCTCAAGAAAAACATGACTTACACCACTCTGAAAGAATATATCAGAGCACTTCCAAACCGTCCGTTCTACTGCAGAGAAAATAATAGCAACATGTGGACATCTGTACTGGTGACTGCAATGCATTCCTAATTATAATATTATTGCATAATATTAAAGGGTTGCTTAATCTTAGAAGGGTGTGTTGTGTGGCTGTGACTACCCTGCACTTCTGAATTTTCCATGCATGGTGTCATGGTAGTCAGGAATGGATTCATCTTACATTTTACAGAAATTCTACAAACCACTGCAAAAAGGGCATCAGGGATCAAATCTCCCCATCACCCCTACATTTTCCATCCCAACCCTTTCCGCTGTTATTCCATGATTCAAGCGAAGCCATCCCCAATTCAGGATTGCATTTCATTTGCTGCTGGAGAGGGCGGGGTTGTTGACAAACACAAGGAGTCTGGAAGACTAGAGAGTCTCCAGTAAGAGAGTCATGGAACAAAGACGGTTAAATGTTACAGCACAAACAGAAGTGTTTTCTTTGAGGGGCAGGGAGGCAAAGATTTGTCACTCCAAGGCCAGGATATCTTGCCTCGTTGCCCTCCCCTTTTAAGAAAGCTTAAAAAAATACTTTGCATAAAAGGGCACCAGGGCAAAATGATGAGGTGAGACTTCAGCTGCCCATCATCTTAAGAGAATCTATATTTGTAAATTAGCATTTGAAAATCTAGTGAAAATCTGTGTCATAGGCCAGGGTCCCACATCCTTTATGTACCTAGCAATGCAACCCAAACATGATCAGGTGGTTGGGAAACCTCCTCCAGAAGGAAAGTTTGAAGGCGTTTGAATAACTTTTTATTTTACTTGGAGTGGCGGGCATCATAGCACCACAGGAAGCTGCCTCATGCTGCCTCAGACCCTTGGTATTGTCTACACTGACTGGCAGCAGCTCTCCAGGGTTTCAGGCAGGGTTTTCTCCCATCCATAGCTGGAGATGTTGGAGACTGATGCTGTGACCTTCTGCAGGTAAAGCAGATGCTCTGCTTCAGCAATGAGGGACAGGACAGCACTGAGAGAGCTTCTCGGTGGATGTGGAGAAAATGGCTATGCTACAAGGACTTTTCCCCTCTGTCTCTCAAATCTGCAAGAACTTAGGATCTGTCAAAAGTGGAATAAAGGGTGGGTGATTCAAGCCAGACAAAGAAAGGACTTCTTCACCTGTACAGTCATTGAAATTCAAGGTAGAGATGGCCACTAGCTTAGAGGGAATTTGGGGCAGTCTTTGCCAACTTGGCATCCTCCCGGTGCTTTGGGCTACAATTCCCATCAGCCTCCACCAGTTGGCAAAGATTGATTCTGGGGGAAAACACAGAGGGGGAAGAGAGTTGGCCACAAGCTACGAGAGTTAAATGGACCCTCCATATTTAGAATCAGTATATCCCGAATGCTGCTTTCCAAATGGGCAATAGCAGGAGAGGGATATTCACCACCACCCACTCCTTGCTGGCTTCCCAAGGCCACAGTAGAAAGAAGGGTCTGGTCAGACCCAACCAGACTATCCTTATCCTCTTTGTAATTTCAATTAAAAGTAGAGACATCACCTTGCCAACAAAGGTCCGTATAGTAAAAGCTATGGTTTTCCCAGTAGTGATGTATGGAAGTGAGAGCTGGACCATAAAGAAGGCTGATTGCCGAAGAATGGATGCTTTTGAATTATGGTGCTGGAGGAGACTCTTGAGAGTCCCATGGACTGCAAGAAGATCAAACCTATGCATTCTGAAGGAAATCAGCCCTGAGTGCTCACTGGAAGGACAGGTCCTGAAGCTGAGGCTCCAATACTTTGGTCACCTCATGAGAAGAGAAGACTCCCTGGAAAAGACCCTGATGTTGGGAAAGATTGAGGGCACAAGGAGAAGGGGAACAACAGAGGACGAGATGGTTGGATAGTGTTCTCGAAGCTACCAGCATGAGTTTGACCAAACTGTGGGAGGCAGTGGAAGACAGAAGTGCCTGGCGTGCTCTGGTCCAGGGAGTCATGAAGAGTCGGACATGACTAAACGACTAAACAACAACAATTCCAGTTAAACCACAAGGGAATTATGCGAGGGGGAGATAGAAGCTTGTAAAGAACCTATATAAACAGTGCGAAAACCAATGATACCTTTTCATGTTCTTCCCTGGATGCACCAGCTTTTTATTTTCTTTCAAAGTTGGATCCAGTTCACCCAAACAATGCTCCCCTCCCCACCACCACTGTGTCACCTACCTTAATCCGAGAAAGGGCCGTGAGCTGTGTGCCTTAGAAGCTATTCCTGGCCAGGAGTTCCAGTGCTCTACAGAAGTAAAAATCCTGAATTAATCCTATGCGTTTAGCATGTGCTTAAAAAATCCCCAAGAACAATGGCACAAAAACAAAACAAAACACAAATCTCTGTCCTTAAAAAAAAACACAACTCCTTCTCCCAGTTTCCCGTGGCCTTGGGAAAACACTCCAGAGGAACAACCCTCTGAATCTGGTAGAACGTGGGGAGGGGGAGGTTGACAGAAGAACGACCCATGCAGTAAAAAGTGTTAGAGGCCTGCCATGCCCAGCCAAAGAAGCGGCAAGTCACAGGGTTTCTCCAGCAGCTATTTTTAGTGAAACAGAATTCCTCAAGTTGTTTTGACTTCCCAAGTTGCTCTCCTCTAAGTGCTGGAGAAGGCAGCTGTGCATCCAGATCACCTTACAGCATGGAGGATCCCTTTCAGAGCCAAAGTTGGAGAGGAGAGGCCCCAGGAAGAGACGAGTGGTCAGGGGTGCCGTCAAGAAAGGGCATTAGGGCAGCCGTCCATGGCTCCCCTCGGAGAAGGGCCAACAAAAGCGCTGGTTTGCCACATTTTGAACACATGCCCACCACAGTGATGCATACGTATGTACACACAGAGAGTGTTCAATTTCTTAAAGCATGCCACATCAAATGAAGGGACTCACTCAGCTGCATGCCTTGAGGTAGACCAGCTGTAGAAGCTCACTCTTTAAAAGTACAGTGATACCTCTGGTTAAGATCTTAATTTGTTGTGGAGGTCTTAACCTGAAACTGTTCTTAACCTGAAGCACCACTTTAGCTAATGGGGCCTTCCGCTGCCACCAGAGCACAATTTCTGTTCTCATCCTGAAGCAAAGTTCTTAACCCGAGGTACTATTTCTGGGTTAGCGTAGTCTGTAACATGAAGCGTCTGTACCCCGAGGTACCACTGTATGTTTGTTAATTTTTGAGAATACAGCTGTAAAAGGTCAATCAGATGTGCAAATCCGTCAAAGGGGGGGGAAACCACTGATAACTGTGACCGTGATTGTGGCTGAGTGAGGTACAGGGGTTGTTTATATCACTGTCTTCTTCTTAAATATTAAATATGGAACAATGAGACAGAGTTTACATTTCTCTTTAACCACCCCATTGTACTCTCAGGATCTTCACTATCTGCTTCTGAGTTTTCTGGGAGCACCAGGCTGGTCATTGCCAATGGGCCTTTTGGCCTCATTTCAACAGAGCTGCTTCTGAAGGTCACGGTACATAGAATCACAGAGTTGGAAGGGACCGCAAGGGCCATCTAGTCCAACCCCCCTGTAAAGCAGGAATATTTTGCTCAGCTTGGGGCTTGAACCCACAACCCTGGAATTAAGAGCCTCGTGTTCTGCCAACTGAGCTCTCTCATTTCCCCATCCTTTTTGGCGTATGCCGACAGGTGCAAAAGGGAAACTTGGATCACTGTTAGTGATTGCAAATATAGGAGCAGCGGAAAGAAACAGTCCCAGAAATGGCAGGCACTCCTGCTGTCTAAGATCCTATGAGAAAGAGAAAGAGAGAGAGAGAGAGAGAGAGAGAACAGCTGTGATTGGTACTGTTCTGGCCTGACCAAGACTGATGGGAGTTCTTCTAATAATAACAATAATAATAATTTATTATTTATACCCCACCCATCTGGCTGGGTTTCCCCAGCCACTCTGGGCAGCTTCCAACAGAATATTAAAATACAATAGTCTAATAAACATTAAAAGCTTCCCTAAACAGGGCTGCCTTCCGATGTCTTCTCAAAGTCTGGTAGTTGTTTTTCTCTTTGACATCTGGTGGGAAGGTGTTCCACGGGGCGGGTGCCACTACCAAGAAAGCCCTCTGTCTGGTTCCCTGTAATTTGGCTTCTCACAGTGAGGGAACTGCCAGAAGGCCCTCGGCACTGGACCTCAGTGTCCGGGCAGAACAATGGGGGTGGAGACAATCCTTCCAGTATACTGGACTGAGACCGTTTAGGGCTTTAAAGGTCAGCACCAACACTTTGAATTGTGCTCGGAAACATACTGGGACCCAATGTAGGTCTTTCAAAACTGGTGTTATATGGTCTCGGTGGCTGCTCCCAGTCACCAGTCTAGCTGCCACATTCTGGATTACCTTCAAAGGTAGCCCCACATAGAGCGCATTGCAGTACAGTGGTACCTCAGATTAAGTACTTAATTCGTTCCAGAGGTCCGTTCTTAACCTGAAACTGTTCTTAACCTGAAGCACCACTTTAGCTAATGGGGCCTCCTGCTGCTGCCGCACCACCCGAGCCCGATTTCTGTTCTTATCCTGAAGCAAAGTTCTTAACCTGAAGCACTATTTCTGGGTTAGTGGAGTGTGTAACCTGAAGCGTATGTAACCTGAAGCGTATGTAACCCGAGGTACCACTGTAGTCCAAGCAAGAGATAACTAGAGCATGCACCACTCTGGCGAGACAGTCCGTGGGCAGATAGGGTCTCAGCCTGCATACCAGATGGAGCTGGTAAACAGCTGCGCTGGACACAGAATTGACCTGCGCCTCCATGGACAGCTGTGAGTCCAAAATGGCTCCCAGGCTGCACACCTGGTCCTTCAAGGGCACAGTTACCCTATTCAGGACCAGGGAGTCCTCCACACCTGCCCGTCTCCTGTCCCCCAAAAACAGTACTTCTGTCTTGTCAGGATTCAACCTCAATCTGCTAGCCACCATCCATCCTCCAACTGCCTCCAGACACTCACACAGGACCTCCACCGCCTTCACTGGTTCTGATTTGAAAGAGAGGTAGAGCTGGGTATCATCCACATATTGATGAACACCCAGCCCAAACCCCCTGATGATCTCTCCCAGTGGCTGCATGTAGATGTTGAAAAGCACGGGGAGAGGACAGAACCCTGAGGAACCCCACAAGTGAGAGCCCAGGGGTCTGAACACTTATTCCTCCACCACCACTTTCTGAACACGGCCCAGGAGCAAGGAGCGGAAACACTGTATAACAGTGCCCCCAGCTCCCAGCCCCTCAAGATGGTCAAGATGGTCCAGAAGGATGTTATGGTTGATGGTATCAAATGCCACTGAGAGATCCAGCAGAACTAGGAAACAGCTCTCACCTTTGTCCCTAGCCTGCCGGAGATCATTGACCAGTGCAACCTAGGAAGTTTCAGTTCCATGATGGGGCCTGAATCCCAACTGGAAAGGATCCAAATGGTCCGCTTCTTCCAGGCATGCCTGGAGTTGTTCAGCAACCACTCGCTCAATCACCTTGCCCAACAATGGAAGATTTGAGACTGGGCGATAGTTGGCCATATTAGCCTCATCTAAAGATGGTTTTTTAAGAAGCGGTTTGATAACTGCCTCTTTCAGCGGGTCTGGGAAGGCTCCCTCACAGAGAGAAGCATTTACCACCCCACTAAGGGCAAGGATCAAGGAGACAGGTGGTTGGTTTCACTCGTCCAAGCAGCCTGTCCACATCCTCAGAGGTAACAGATTGGAATTGATCCCACGCAACTTGACTAGACAGGACTCTAGCACTCTCCCGCCCCGGCCCTGCTCCCACGGTGGCGTCTACCTCTTCTCAAATCTGAGTGACTTTATCTGCAAAAAACTTTGCAAAATCATTGCAGGAGATCTTGTGGCCCAAACTGGGCCCCGATGGAGCAGGTGGTTCTGATAGATTGTGAACCACCTGAAAAAGTCTCCTGCTGCTGTTTTCTGCAGATGCAATAGAGGCGGTGAAGAATGTCTTCTTCACCATCACTATCGCCACTTGGTAGGCTCAACATTGAGCTCTAACCTGTGTCCGGTCAGCTTCAGAATGAGTTATCCGCCACCGGCGCTCTAGCCCTCTCAGCAATTGTTTCATTGCCCTCAGAGCCGTGGAAAACCACAGGGCTGACCGGGCTCCATGCAATCAGAAAGGGCACTTTGGAGCCAGACAGTCAATAGCCCTGGTTAACTCCACATTCCAGTGGGCCACCAGGGAATCAGCTGAAAGGCCATCAACACTGGATAAAACATCCCTTACTGGAAACCATTTGGATCCGTTAAGTGGTGGGGGCGGACCATCCGAATCAGTCCGACCTCCCTGCAGAGGGGAAGGGTGGCAGAGAAGTCCAGTTGCACCAGTTGTTGTCCAAACTATCTGGAAAGCACCAGCTTGGAGAAGGCTTGCCCATGGTTTCAGTGAGAGTGAACATGATATGAACATGTCATCACCTTCTCTGAAGACTCTGGACTTCTTTGCCTGCTGCTTCCTCCTTCCCTGCATTTCTTTCAGAACAGGGATTAGACCAATGCTTCTCAAAGGTTGTGGCGTGACATACTGGTATGGCAGGAAAAGAGGATGTGTATGGCAGGAAAATTCAAGGACAATCTAAGAAACATTTAAACATTATAGTACAGTACAGTACAGTATCAAAACAATATTTTTATTTGCAGAATATGGATAAGTAGGGTTTTGTTTTGTTTTCAAAATGAGAGCAAGAGCATCAAGAGATACTGAGGACAAACTGTGATTCAGAATCATTGTTTGAACCAGATTGCTGGAGAATAGCATTGGCTATTCTTCTACAATTATCCATGACATTGTGAACAGGGATTTTTAGCTGTGACAAAAGAGAAAGGCTTCCTTGTATTGATGAGGAGGTGAGAGCTTGCTTGTCTCACTTTAGACTTCATATACCCTGCAAAAGCAGGCTCATGCCTCTCATTGAGTTTGTCTACATACTCAAGGTACATATGCTTGAGGCTTGTTTATAATTATATTTTGGGAATGATTCATGTTCTTAGGTAGCTGCATTGTTTTGTACTTTCTGGATGCTCCCTGATCATATTATAAAGTACCATATTTTTCGCTCTATGGGACACACTTTCCCCCCTCCAAAATTAAGGGGAAATGTGTGTGCGTCCTATGGAGTGAATGCAGGCTCCTTGGCTTCAGCGATTAGCAACGCGAAGCCTCCGAAATGCAGAGGAAGTGCTCCCTGTCCCACCAGGAGATGCTGGGGACTGAACCTGATGTCTTCTGCATGCTAAGCAGTTGTTCTACCACTGAGCTATGGCCCTAGCTCACAATATTGCTGTCAGGATAAAATGGAGAAGGTGGAGGCTGAAGTGCGTATGCTCTGTGGAGGAAAGGTGGGATAGCCTATAAATGAATAAACTACAGTATATTTTTAACTTACTCTCCTAATAATTTGTATATAAATGATAAAAGTGGTATATAAATTTTGTTAAATAAAAAAAGAGGAAATGTTCAGACTTTCAAACAGTATGTTATGCCTAAGCCTTCATTGCTGA